TTTTTTTTTTATACTTTTGCTCTCACTCCCTCAGTCCACCGATCCAACAGAGAGCAGCGCTTAATGAGCCTGTCTTTGACAATTCTTCTCTGAAAAACAGGCAGGGCCATTGTTAGGAAACAGAGAGGAAGAGAGAAAAGAAAAACAGGGAAGAGAGGAAGATGAGCATTTTTGAATTCACCGAGAGCCATAAGTAATTTAACTGATTAAACTAAATAAAAGTTAAAGTCTTTTAAAACAACAAGTTTTGAGCAGGTGCAAGTACTCTTAAGGGGGAAAAGTGTTCATAATAATGATTCTTTGGATTGTAATTGCAGAGTTAGGTACTGCAACGTCTAATATTTCCCTAAATTGCTGTGCAAAAGTGTTTGAAGGTTTTAGGGCAGCCTATAATTGCAGTAAGACATCTCCTGTTGAAACATGCTCTTTCCTACTAATGATTTATTTCATGATTTACTGGAGGATCTCTTCACTACTCTGACCTTTCTTGCCTGGTTGTTTATTTTATGGATGTTAAACTTAAAACCAACTTTAGATCAAAAATTATGTTCACAGAGCAAATATACCGTCCACATAGCACTTTTAAGTCACTCTTCAAATACCAACTGTTCGTTGACACCGCGCTCAGCGAGAGTCTCTGAGGAACATCTTTGAGAGTTGGCCTGTGAACATAATTAAAGCTTTAATCTCTGTTCTTGGCTAACAAGTTTTGATGTGGTCCCGTGGGTTTGTGCAGCAGAACCCTGTGACCTGTGAATCTCATCAGATAGTTGGTGAGTCATGGTTAATCTCAGTTGGCTCCTACCGTTTGCTGTGTAACCACAACAGGCCTAAAAAAAAAAGAAAGGTGAGATCTCTGATATGGGCAGGAATGTGTTAAAAAAAGAGTGACCTGATCATATGTCATTTTTAGCTAAATTTTAAAGATGGATAATGCCTTGAGTTTTGATATGCTAATACGTACCCTGTGATAATAATAATTAATAAATGCCCACTAACTTTAGATGAATCGTCTTTTTAAGTGGTATTACTATGATTTGATTAAACCTACCACAGCACAAAAAAGCTGTTAACAAAACAATGCCATTTAATATCACCTTTGAAATTGATATTTAAACGTTGTTACCAGCAACAATTGCCAACGTGTACATCTAGCAAATATGGAGCAACATTCTCATTTATCTGTTGTCTATTTTGTTGCTGTCCAATGTTCACCCTCTTTTATCTCTGTTTTTTTTTTGTCTCTGCCATTTTCTGAGGGAAATATTAAACTTTTTAGTTGCTAAATGCTCCAGGATGTTCACCAGCTAGTTGCTAACCGTGTCTGTCTGCCATGTGGTGCTGGGCAGGGGGTGTACACTGAGTTTTAAGTGCTTCTTTGCTGAAAACAGCTGTGACTGAAAACGACGCTGACAGATGAGATGAAAGTGAACCAAAGCAGATAAGTTAGATGTAGTGAAACCAAAACAGCGAGCTGAAAGACACTAAAACGCTATACAAGAGCTGGAGGAAAATGCAATCAATAATTCTACGTGGGTTTGTGAGTGAATCCTTTCATGTAAAACTCTTTATTGTATCTGTTTTAGAACAACTTAGTGGACTTCAGTGAAGCAGTGAAGAAGTTAAGGCTGCTGCACAGGCACAAAACTGTCCTGGACGCTCTTCAGGCCCTGATCAGCAGTTTAAGATGTACAGTACATCTGTGTCCGTGTGAGACACTTGAAGCAGGTCAGATAATCCCAGTTGTGTCTCACCATGACAGTTTGACCCCATCCGACCTGACCCTCTGTCTCAATGATCAGAACAGCTGACGTAAGAGTGACTTACATGCTCCTCAACAATACGCATACAGTACATGCTGACACACATACAGTATGGCATGGCATATTGTAATTGCTTAGCAGGACAAACAGTAAAAATGAGCTGTGATCCCCTTCTGACCCTTTAATTAGTGGTCAGTTACTTGTTTGTAGCGTTAGGTTGAGTAGTAGGATCGTGTTATTAGGTTCATATTATCTATTTCATTCTTGTTTTTGGGCTGGCTAGAAGTTGGCAGGGCTTATTAATTAAGGCCAGGCGTATTCATTGATCATATTATTGTGTATTATTGGGTTTCAACTTTGTTGATCTACTGTGTGACTGAGAGGGAGACAGCTTAACACCTGTTTAACTACTTGTCTTTTGATGAGAACTTTGAAGCTGACTACTCTGGATTTGTTTCTACTTGGACACAAACAACAAACATTTTCAGTGAATATTCACCAATGATTGGTGTAGTTTTTTGGGGCATCTGGTTGAGTTATAAGCCCCAAACAACCCCCAGCAAGCCAGCCTTCTCTTTCCTTTAGTTACTGCAAGTTTTCTGTCACACACATGCAAATACACACTTTATGTTAGAGACTGAATGTAGCCTTTAGGCACTAACCGAGAACTGCCTCCAAACAGGGGTAACTTATATGGGCACAATTTCATTTAATAAAATACACCATGAAAGCACAATTTATATGAAAATAATAAAAACCTTAAAAATATATGTAAACATGTGGCCACTCTATGAGATAGGATTTCACAATATGCATACAGGATTTAATGAATTTGAAATTCATTACATTACAACTAAATAATTGCCACGTGGTGCACCTGGAGCCTTCCAGGGCAGCTTTGGTGATACAGCCTTGTTTTTAAGTCATACTCCATTTTCCTTCAGTTCATCTGCAAAATTAAAACTTTGATCATTATTTTTATGAGCAAGTTTAATAAGGATAACTGTAATATGAAAAATAATGCATATGCATTTATATAAAACTCTCAAAATATGTTTCCAAAGGCAGCTCTCTGTTTTCATCACAGTAGAAGCGTATTGGTCATTATAACTATTTGATCTCTAATATTTTCTTTAAAAAAAGACAAAGCTCTTACAAAGCTGGTATAGCTATGTTACATGTATCTTGGGGATAATTAATCCCCCTCACCCAGTATGAAGGACAAAATGTCAGTATGTCCTCCCTGATCTATGGATCCCAAGTAAAAACTGGTCACTGAAAGGAGAAAGACAACTAAGAGGATTGATTAGTGATGTAGATGTTGGCCACTGTGGCTGTCTCGACTGTAAATAACCTCTGTAGAGATACTGTGGGAATGCATGTCCAAGAATGGGTCTCAAGTGAACAGTTGACCCACTGATGACCTTCAGTGTCAAAGGTCACTGACCTGCCTATTGACGGGTGATGGACATGTCCTAACAGCCACTCATGGCTTGTGTCAGCTGGCACTAATAAAGAGCTGACACAATATAAGAGCAATTAATTATAAACACTACTGAACAAGGACATTGCCACACAAAAATACACATATAAAGCGAAAACCACACACACACACACACACACACACACACACACACACACACACACACACACACACATACACACACACACACACACACACACACACACACACACACACACACACACACACACACACACACACACACACACACACACATGCAGTACAATTTGAAACAGATTATTTTGGGATATTTTATTTGTGTAATAAAACCAGCAACTGTTTTCAGTATGGGTCTGGGTGGATGCTGTTTAGATGCTGTAATAGAATTATTACACTGTTAAATCCAGATTACACTCTGAGAGCAACATTGCCTAACAGCTTGTCCTAATAAAAACACCAGCGTCTCAAAACATTTACTTTTCTGGGCAGAAAAGACATAAAATTCTCAGAAACAGAGTGTGTGTGTGTGTGTGTGTGTGTGTGTGTGTGTGTGTGTGTGTGTGTGTGTGTGGGTGTGTTTCTTTTGGTTCTCCCTGTACATTCTTACACATCTAACAAATGACTTACTGTATAATGTGGACATTGAAACAGGAATTCAAGGACCTTTGAATCAGGTGAGTGGTCTTAACCGGAGCTAAACTGTGGCTATTTAAAGAGGTCAACCCACCAGCATAATGTGTCATTTGTTTCCCCAGGGCTCTGAGACTCTGAGAGAGAGAGAGAGAGAGAGAGAGAGAGAGAGAGAGAGAGAGAGAGAGAGAGAGAGAGAAAGTGCAAATATGAGATCAGCCTCTTTTTTTTTTTAATAAAAAAAAAATAAGATTAACACAAAAAAAACCTATACCCTCCCAAAAACAGGATTTGAAAAGTACTTACTGATGTAATGGATTTATCTCAGAATATTTGGTTAGCCAACCAAATTAGCCACAGCGATATTCTTGCACATATTGTTTTAACAGTGACTGCATAAAAAATATAAAAAAATCAAACAGACATACACTATGGGATAGATTATAGCAAATGACAGTGTAGTATAGTTTTCAGGTACTTGTACTTTCCATTTTCTGTTACTTTTGGGTTATACATTTCAAGTTGTACTTTTTACTTCACATTTCACATGAAAGCCATTGTTACTTTGCAGATTAAGAGTTTGCACAACATCTATGAACACTTTATAAATTATGATGTTAAGGTGCTCAAGTTCAAATTAGCTCCACCTCAAAAGCTGCAACATTAAAATAACACACACATGTTGAGGCATTACTAATAAGAATCCACTAATACCTTTCTTAATAATACAGCACCAAGGGAGCTATTCTGTTGCATCTTAAGTGCTTTTATTTTTATATTTTCATATAGTTAGCTGAAAATACTTTTTTTTTTACTTCTATTTAAGTGAGATTTGTACTTGTAATGGAACATTTTTACAGGGTTAACAAAGCAGATTTATGTATCTGCAAAATCTGTTTCCCTGGAAACTGAAGTGTTTCACAGCAACTTCCAAGTATCAGTCTATTTGTTTTTAAACTTTCTCCTTTTAGAATGTGAAAAAAGTTTCCTTATTTTGCAGGAAAGCGTAGGTGAATGCTTGCATTGGCTAGAGATGAGACGTGTGACCCCCGTCTTCCTTCTACCATGGCAGCTTCACGGAACTGGAGCGTGGGGGATATGGGAGGAGCGATGGTTTGAGGTCCAGGTGGTTGAGCCTGCGTAAAAACGCACCAAACACAAGCCAAACACTTACGAAACGAATAGTAAGCGTCATTAAAGAAAAAAGCTCGAGCCTTCCAGCTCCTGGCACCTCGATGAATGAATAAGCTGTTTCCAGAAAAAGCCTCCAGGATTTGCTGCTGGAGAAATAATCAAACGAGCGCTTCGGTTGGTGCGTCGCTGCGACCTCTCCAGAAGAAACACGGACAAAACTGCTCTGGGTTAAACTTTTGACTTTTTTTTTGACCGAAGCATTTTCAAGAGAGCAAGGCGGCCTGTTTGAGCAACAAGTGGAGATATGTTTAAGAAAAGCAAGAGTAAAGTGCTGGTGGATTATGCGTCAGAGGAAGAAGACATGTCAGAGACATGGCACTATCATCACTCCTACAAGGTAATAATGAGTCGTAATGAGATGAAGAGGAAACAGCGGTATTCTCTGCTAACAGCAGTCAGATGTGTTTTTCAGGTGTTTTCCCTTAAACAAGTTTAAAAAATGGCAGAATGATAACATGTAACTCTACTAAAATAGATTGCTCTGCTTGTTCAGTCCATTGTTTCACTTGTTTCAGTGTTTTTTCCCCTAGAAACAAGTGTCAGGATATCAAAGCGAGGCTACGGGGCTTAACAGCAAAGTTGAGTCAAAAACCCCAGTAAGACAATTTTTCGGTGTTAGGAGAAAATAAGTAATAAAAAATTTTATTACATGAGATTGATATTTATTAGTGACCCTATACACAAACTATAAATATGAATAAAGCATCACAAATAAGGCACAAAACAAGTCAAATACAATTTTTAAATTATTCTTATGATTTTCTGATTGAAGCTGCTAAACTGACTAGAAATGCTGTTTCACTGTCATGTCAGCTGAGGAGGAAAATGTCAGAAAATGCTGAGAGGTCAAAGAGGAGACATTGATGATAGAATAGGCAAAGGCAAGGTAAGAGTTGTGATTGGCAGACAGCACTTAAAACTGTTTCTTGGTTGTCAGTATCTCTTTACAGGCAATCTTCTGTTTCACAGGAAACAGGGAAAGATAGCCATTCAAACACACACACACAAACACACGCACACGCTCACACAAAATTCATAGAAAAAAACTCAGGTGAGCAGGAGCAGTATGTGTGAGGTCTAAGGGACTCTGTATCAGCACTTGCAAGCAGATGGGTCCTGTCAAGGTGTTGGTGGGTTACACCGGAGTATCCATGATATAATTACCACCACACACACACACACACACACACACACACACACACACACACACACACACACACACAGACACACTGACACACGGAAAGGCAAAAGGCATCCAGCAGTCTTGGCTCATGAGAAATAGCAAGCTGACATGTTTATTTCTTGAGCCTCTTGGAGTAAAAACATTTTGCAACCTAGACCGTGGAACTTTTCCAATAAAATTTAAATGCAAGTTTCAGGCGTCGACTTCTCGTTAAATCCCAAAATTCAAGTGAATAGAGACATTAGATTGGACAGACAAAATAATGTGCTCTCCCCGTGTTTGTGGTATCAGTTTAATGTACTTGTGATAAGAACCTTTTTAAACTGTACAATGAATCAAGGTTTTATGGGGAGGGTTTTATAGAGTTTAATAGAGAGTGTGTAGTAAACCAATATGTGTAAGCTTTAAGAGCTTTACCAACTTAACAACAGGACATGTTACAGTGCTGGACAAATAAGATGATGATAAAAGTGGAGACACAGTCAAACAAAGTTAACAGTTTTTTAGATACTTTTAACAGAAATTTTTAAAAGTATTTGAAATGTTTTCATTTCATTTCAAAACATTGTGAATTTGTGATACACCATGATGATGTCAGATTGTATTCACTACTTATAACTCCATCAGTGTTACAGCATTTACTGGATGTATAAATGTGTCACATACTGTAGTTGTAGCAATTCGGAAGATCAACCAACACCATTTCCCAGCATTTTTCATCTGTTGTTGTGATAATGTCTAGATCTGCGACCCTTGGCTGGTTTTTATTGGCCATTCTTAACTTCCACCCTGGGAACCAACGCATGTGGCCCTTACCCCTGAAGAGCTGATTTGAAATCAGTTTCTGACTCTGTTCCTAGTGGTCACTGGAATTAGTTGGTTGATGAGAGCTGATTTGAGAACAGAGCAGCGACTTCTCGCCAGGGAGGTCCACCCTGAGTTGCCATGGGAATAAAACACATCCAGAGGTCAGGGGTGGGGTCATAAAATGTCGTAAACACAGTGAAGGGGCAGATCTAACCCAGCAGTGATACAGTATAAAGCCAGTATAAAAAGTTATGATAACACAGTCTGGACATGCAGTCTTTTCCTTCCCCTTATTCAAATCACAGTCTGGTCTGCCTCCCGCAGTGAATGAAGTATAAAGAGGAAAAGATAGATGATCTGTTGCAGTTTTGCGTTATGATCACATATACAGGTTGAGCTTCTTTTTCAATTGTTTTTGAGATCCTGAAGTCACCAAAATTAATCAAACATGTAGAATGAATTAGGAAATGTTTGATTAACCTTAAACCTACATAAAATGAATTTGGTAAAACCAAAACTCAAAATAAAAGCAGTACGTTTCTGGCATTTGTGCTTGAAATATTCCCACTTTAGAAATAGGGTGGTTTTGTTTAGCTTTACTCAGTAGTAATTTAAAGTAATAGCATTAATTGGTGCAATATTTGAATTAAGCCTTCTTTTTGTCGTCAGGGAACAGGACCAGGTCAAAACCTAGCATATGGCTGGACTGTGTCTGGTCAATATACAAAATTGAGGACGTAGTTGAGATTTTTTGTGTTGTTGTATTGCACTGTAATACATATTAGGTGTCTTTTTACCCTTTATCTAGCCAGTGACGTTTCAGTGGCTTTTCTGGAAAAGAAAGTCCTGCTTTTACATACATTCACACCTGTAAACTGCCCAGAACAACCACAGTCTGATCTGTCTGCTACTGTGCAGCTCCACTGGAATAGTTGGGGGATAAAGGGCCTTGCTCAAGGGCATCCCGTGTAATGGTCTTTCACTTTCTCCACCCACATTCATCCTGGTCGTCCAGGAATTGAACCTGTGACTTTGTGGTCACAATTATGTTTTTCTAGTCTTAATTCTGTTATTTTGTCTGATTTTTGCTCAAAGTGGTATTTTCTTAAAACACTTAATCAAAATGTCATGTGTACTCACAGTATAGTCACAGCAAGATACAATAGGTCCCTTTCTTTTGCAGTCAGTGTTATCTCTTTGTACAGTACCCTTTGGAAGAACAGATGATTTACATGTTTTGCTAGTACGGTGAGTCAAATCTGTAAATCACACACCAACAGCCAGACAGGCAGAGGCAGACAAGTATAACGGGATAATACCTCCACAGACAGAGGTAAAGAGGGAAAAAAGGCAGAAGGTAGGAGACAATATGCAGGTTTTTGAAGTCAATATCTTTTCTCCCCCCACAGCGCTCTAGGGCGACAGCAGGCCCTGTGCCACAGCTTTGCTTTGTTACCACTCACCTTCTATTGAAGTTCAATAGGTTGTAAGAGGCAGCTATGAGCTCACGGGAGGTGCATATGCCTGTTTGTCTATGGCTTAAAGCGGTAACACAAATACTTCAGTAAAACCACTCTTATTCCGCAGCTGGGGCTTGTTTTGTGAAGTGGGATCATGAGAGTACAGATGAAGTCTGAGCACTTCAGACGGCCTCACATCTTAATCATTAGTGGTGACAAGGAAAATAAAGGTAAAGCTGAGTGGATCATCTGCTGAAGGGGATGGGGTTAACATCGTTGAAATCAAACATTTCTTGCCAGTTCAAATCAAATCAAGCCTTTTTTTTTTTTCTTTTTTACATTTAAAGCAATAGTTCAACATTTTACAAAATATGACTATTTGCATTCTAACCAAGATTTAACCAAGGTCGATACCACTCTCATTTTCATATGCAAAATTTGAAGCTGCAGCTATGACGTGGTTAGCTTAGCTTAGCACAAAGATTGGATACAAAGGATAACAAGTAACTTGGCTCTGTCCAAAGCCTCCAGGAAATCATTGCTCCTCTTGTAAAATCGCAACTCATTGTTTTTGCAATTACAAATGAGATATAGTGTGTTAATCAGTGAGCTTTAGAGATGCTAGTAGGCAGATTTTCCTACCTTTGGACAGATGCCTATTGCTCTAAAGGTAATTACACACAGCCAAGTAGGAAAAACTGGTCATGTCAGCCTCCGACTTGTAATTGCTAGTTGAAACTTCAGAGATTTCTGACAGCGATGATAGCTCTCACATGATGAAAAGAACTACAGAAGTGTCAACTAACTGTCGTATAAGCTAAATCAAATCCAATATTAACTGTAATTGATTCAGCTAATTTAAAAGGAGCCACACACAGTTAGTTTGTATCTGGTGTCACTTAACAAACTGCTATAAAAATAGAAAAAGTAACTAATTCAGTCTAGTGAAATGATGCGACTACACGACAAGCATGAATGCGCTCCTCCTTCCAGACTCTATGCTAAGCTAAGCTAACAGTCTCCTAGCTGTAGCTTCATATTTAACATACAAATATGAGAAGGTTGATAAAATTCTCATCTACCTGTCTACTGTTTCCTTAATTATATTAAGTGAAGTGATTGTTAAAATATACCAGTAGGCCACTGCAGGCACAAACACTGAGTCACTGGGTTTCGAGACTGAGGTATGTTGGTATGTGAGGGCTCTGTGAAAAAACTATCGGTGCTTTCATATTGAAATTCACTGTGCGTCTTTATTGCCTAGTAATCTGACTTTTATAAAGACAACATGGTGCTAAAATTTACACACAGACACAGTCACAGAGGGAAAGAGAGACAGACACAGAGAAAAAATGCCCCCCCTGAGGGGTGAAAACAGAACTCTTGCTTTCTGTTGTTAGGAGCGTTTTCTCTCCCCCAAACACTACTCTCTCCCTCTGAACGCCCCCCTCCGTCAGTTTTTCCCTCTGTTCCAAGTTGTTAATGCTTTTACGCTCTAACAGTAGTCAGCAATCAGTATGTGTGAGTGTGTGTCTTTGATCAGCTCAGGTGGCGGAGACCCAGCAGACTTTGCTCAGACATGTCCAACTGCCATTTCTCCTCCTCCTCCCTCTCTCTCTCTCTCTCTCTCATGAAGTTGTAAGATGTTAGAGGTTCTTACAGCTTTGATCATTTTACAGGAATTCTGGCTCCACTTCAGTAATCTCAGGCTCAGCTGCATGTCTAATGACTTGTTGCTGCCCTCTTATGATTCAATGTCTTTAGGTCTTGTGGGGCATGTCCGAATCAAGTCAAAAGCCTTCAAAGGCATACTGCAGGGCTCTGACAACAGCAAATATGAGTCAAAGGCATTAAAAGATTAAAAACATTCATGATAAATGCGGGCTATCATATTTATTATATTTATAGCACCATTATAGACATATAGATTCAAAATACATTAAATTCCAGGACAATCTAAGGGTCAAGGATCTGCAGCAGCACCATAAGGAGGTTTCTGATAAGACTGATTTTATTTTTGAAAAATATATAGGGTTTTGTTATCGCTGTGCACAGAACTATTCTGTCTACATTTAGGTGTAGTCATTGTTAGGGAAAATTCTTATCATTGGTGGTGAAGAAAGAGCCCTGGAGTCCAAGATATCTTATGCTGAGAATGTTTATTGAAGCTTGGTCAAGGAGAAAGGAGGAATCATCAATACAGTCTCCTGTGCATGATGTCACATCAAATCTGAAGCAGGAACCCCAGAGGATAATCTTTATACACTTAGAGAGATTACTATAGATAGCTTACACTCCATAACTGGTCAAATATCTAAAATAAGAGGGGAGGGGAGGGATGTGTGAATACACTATTGGTTCATTAACCATAAACAAGGAAACATGACTATATATGCCCAAGTGCTGATTCTTAGAACACCCAGCCACTTGTTACTGACCATCCAAGGTTTTCTGTTATCAATTGTAGCACCAGCAGTATCAGCAGCAAACCACAGCTGCATCTGGAGGAGCCACCTGAGCGTCTCAAGGCCTGTAAGATTTGATGCAGTAGCTGTGGCACAGCACCCTAGGCCTCACACTGGCCTTTCACCCTGAGTCACTCATTAATTAGGTGGATAAGAGAAAATTCCCTCACAGTCATAATAGTCTGAAAAGTTCAAAGAAGAGATATACACATAGCTATGCCCCAAGACTTTGTAATGTCTGACAGAAGATCAAAACAATGTTCAATGTTAATAACAATAATGGGTACTATTATCTAAGTAAATGCTATATGTAAATGCTATATCTCCTTAGCTGTGGAATAAAGAAAAGCCTAAAAGACCCAAAAGAGTCAAGTTGCTAGTTCAGGTCTCTGAACACTGACAGTTAAAATAACACAGCATTTGATTATTAAGTTTAGTTAATCAAGTTAAGTCTCAGTGCGTCACATAGAATAATAACAATAATGAAAGTGTAATACAAATATTATATAAAGGATATATGAAAAATGGAAAAAAAGCCTGTGGACTGAAGCACAATGGAACCAAAATAGCTCTGCTTATATACTCAAATAGTAATGTTAACGCAATGGGTCATGGATTTGTTTTCTCTCCCTTTTGTTTAAATCTGCCCTCTGAGCTCAGTGGCTTCCCCTTGTCTTCCATCCCTCCATCTCACTCTCCAAACACCGCATGTTTGTGTTACAGGTCTAAAAAGGTTTCCCTCTCTTTTACAGGAAAGCCTGCACACACTCCACACTCACACATCCCTGCTGTAAAGCATGGATGGTGTGTGTGTGCATGTTTGTGTTGGGAGGTTGCTATTTGTCTTAACTCACTGCTGGTGTGTGTGTGTGTGTGTGTGTGTGTGTGTGTGTGTCTGTGCCAGGACAAAGATATAGAAGGAGAGGAAGAGGAGGAGGAAGCTGTCACTGGTGTTTCCAAGGTAAACAGCACAACTTCACAGCTATTTGGAGTTAACACAGACACAAACACACTATCTGCTTCCAGACTTACAACCAGGGTACACTGTTTTACATCTGACAGAGACTCCCTAAAGATATGCACTCACCCAACACACTCTTATCTTCTCACACATTGACTGAACACGCATGTGCACACGCTCACAATCTCGCATTTATGATGTCACACTCATTGTTGTGTAACCCTAAAAGTGTCAATCATATGTCACCAAAAATGTCAATATCTGTTACTTGACCTCAGTGCCACACACACGCACGCACGCACACACACACACACACACACACACACACACACACACACACACACACACACACACACACACACACACACACACACACACACACACACACAAAGACATTTTATCCTTTTCAGATGACCACAGAGCGTTTTACAGTGTAGCTGAGGTACAGCAGGAGGGTCAGAGGACAGCTGAGGCTGTAGTGTTTATCTGTAAACATACCAGCCTTCAGCTACCAGCTTTAACCTTAATCTTATCACGGGAAAACCGTTTTGTTTGTTGTTATGTTGCATCTGTGTGTGCACCTTTATCCTTATCCTAAAACTCTCAGTGGAGTGAGGTCATTTCGTCTGGGCCTGCAGTGGAGTGTAGTTCAAGATTTAAAGAATAATTCTGGTTTATTACAACGCCTTTAGGAACGACTTCACACATTAGAGATAGATTTACAAACAGCTGGTACGATGTAGAATTTGCTAAATTATCAACAGCTGATTGTTGATTATTTGAAACTCAACACAGATGAGTGTCAAAACAAGATCCAACTAGTATATCTTTAGGGTTAGGTGAAGTTTGAGGTTTGTGCTGTGAGTTGTAAGTTGTGAGTCAAGTGGAGAAAACCTTGTAGATGTTCAGTCAGATTAGCTTTGTCATCATCCTTGTAAATGCTGTATTTATAAATAAAGGTTTTATAATGTGGGTGATTTTATCTTCATCTGCAGCTGTGCCTAGTGTGTGAATAACATTATGTGCTGTCTCTTTGTTCATGAGAAATGTGTAACATCTCTGGTCTTTTCTCAAAGGCGCGGTCATGTCTGAACTGTTTTGAGCATGTGAAGCGTCAGGCTAAAACACTCACAGTGTATTGTCTTTGAACTCCAGCTGCATTCCGACTGTATGTATAGCTACTGTAGGTGACTTTGTTCCCAGGACGCATTTCATGACCTGTCCTGTTTGTGAGGATGGGGGCGGCTGGGCTTTGGAAGGGAAGGAAATGCAACATTCTTTCGAGGAGCTGGGCCTTTTGGACGGGAACAATCACTGTGGAAGAAAAACAAGGCTGAAAATAGCCACGGACTACTCTGACACTGTGGAAGGCTACAACTCTTTCACTGTCAGTTTATTTATGCTCATATGAGAACAGAGAAAGTGGACATGGAGTACTGGAAGTGGAGGTTGCCTTTAGCTGTAAAAGGCTGATTTAATTTCTAGATAGGAAGACTTTCATGAGTCAATACTTGCTGCCACCGGCACAGTCATTTGTGAATTGATGGATGATAGATGATATAGATATTTATAGTAACACATTTAATGGCGCTTACTTAATAAGTTGAATAGTTGATTTGTCGATTAGTCAAACTGTAAATGATATCCATATCCCATGTCTGTATGCTGAATAAGTAGCTACAGCCAGCAGCCAGTTAGCTTATCTTAGCTTAGCATAAAAATCATCTCTCAGCAAAACAGAAAAAGGCCAAATTATTTGTTCAAGTCATCTATCAAACAAAAATACCAAACATTTTCTGGTTCCAGCTTCTATAAAGTGAGAATTTGCTGCTGTAACAGCTTTGAGAAATTGTGATAGGCAGTTTTTTATTATTTTCTGACATTTCATAAAAGATTAATCTATTTAGAAAAAAAGATTAATTGATGATGGGAATACATGATGGAAATGCATAAAGCTCAAATTACATAGCATGTACCAGAGAAACACGGGGAAAAGTAACCAAAAACTAAGCGTCCAAAATGGCAAAGACTCAATCCTGTTTCTAAAAACCTGAAATAATTATGTCTGATAACTACAATTAATACAGTATTTCCAAAATCAAATGCCTCTTTAATCCCTCAGCTTCCACCTCAGAGGTATGGATGGAAGAATTTGGCCCAATACGAGCTCTATTGTTCTGTCCAGCGTGGAGCTGTAGGTAAAGCTCCCCTCACAGCCAGCCTCAGTGAGCTGCTTGGTTTACCAACTTTTTGGCTGGAGAGATTACTGGGCACTGAGCAGCTTTGGATCTAAAGGCCTGGAGGTTAATGCTGAAGTGAATGGTGAATAGGCAGGCCTCTGTATGGGCACGCATGCATGCATGCATGCACACACAAAGCTGGAATTTAGATACATGCACACACACACACACACACACACACGCACACACACACACACACACACACACACACACACACACACACACACACACACACACACACACACATACACAGATAGACTCAGTCTCTTTTGGCATTTCTGGTTTCTCGAAGTACAGAAAATCCGATTCACAGTTTACACTTGATGGCACACTGGAAACAAGAAGGGGAGCAAGGAGAGAGACAGGATGAGTAGAAACAGGATGCTGAAATGGCTGACATGAAATTTTGTAAATGTTATTTAATGGTGATAAACTTGAAGAAACTGGCAGCATCCTTGTCCACAAGAATGTTCAATATGATGAGAGGTGAGGAGAGGAGGATTTGTTTTCTCATTTTATCAGCAAAGTGCCTGAGGTACTAAAGTGAGATTGAGTAATCCATCAAATGTCACATAGTTTGGATAAGAGAAGATATCATGAATAGGACCATGCGAATTCTCATGTGTGTTTTAGATGAAACGCAGAGCTTGTGTATCCTGTGTACACATAGGACAAGCTGTTCTGTAAAAGTCCATCTTATATAAACTGTAACGTTTTGAAGCTTGATCTCAGACCTGGTGACAGACCTTATTGTATGTGTTCCTGTTTGGTTTGAGAGTGACTACTTTCATGTCCAGGTAGTTGTTTGCTTGTTGTAGCAGCTGTCACACGCAGTGCTTTGTATTTAGCACCTCCTGGATAGGTAAAATATAGAAACAAAAGAAGCAGTTTAAACGGGTCGACAGGGTCAGACGCTTTCATGAAATAATGCTGTTAATACTGAGAATGCTTTGATAACGACAAAGCAAAGGCAGGCATGGATGTTAAGTAGGAGTAAATTTTATGACCTTGACAGTTGACATTGAGAATTCCTTCTCGGCCCGGAGTGAAACTGAGCCAAAAGTTTGTTCCATAATCACTGAGGAGGGTGGTATCTGCGCTCAGTGGAAAGCTGCAAGGGCAGGGAGGAATTCTGATGTGACGGGGGAGTCCGGGGGAGTTTCAGAGGGAGTGGAGGGTCTTCCACTGGAATGTGCCAAACATTACTGCCAAGTCAATGCCACTCAAGCTCTTTCTTTTTCCTCTGTCTCTCTATCTATTTATCGACTGATAACTGAATCTGTACCTACAAGGTTTTGTCCAACAGCAATAAGAAAGGTTCTTCATCTATAGATGGTTGTAGCATTATAAACCTTCCTTACAGGGAATTGTTTGACCTTTTTTGATATATCATATGCTTAAAGGTCAATACCACTTACAATAAATGTAAGCCTATGCTAGCAGCAGTTAACTTAGCTTGGCACAAAGATTGGAAACAACGGTAACACAATCTGCCTTCTAGCATGGTAACTTCCAGCCAAGATATAGTACAGCACATATTTCATGTAAAACCACAAATTGTCAATTTTAACAATTTAAACAAGATATAACATACTTATCAGTGAGCTTTAGATGTGCTTTTTACCATACAGACATGACAATGGCATCAATCTTCTCATCTAACTCTTTGTACATGCCGTTAAACGTGAAAACTATCCCTTTACAATTGATAATTTCTTTCTACCAGCCCTACCCTATTCTTGAGTTGAAAAAAAAGGATTTTAAAATGTATGTACGTGGATTGACAGATGATTTAGGTTTGAGATTCATCAGTCTCAACAAATGGCTGCTTCTCTAAATTCTTGTGAAGCTGAATTTATGAAATCATCCTCTTCGGGGAACATAAATCACTCACGTGTAGGCATCAGAGATAACAAGCTAACATGCACCAGATGAGGTTATTCGTTTCAGCTCTGGATTTCTAAATCAAATGCTCTCTTGTCTGCCGGTTTCTGTCAGGAGGCCAAGGTGAAGAAGATTATGTCCAAGAAAGAGAGGAGGGAGAAAAAGATGTTCTCCTCTAAAGACGACGAACACTTCTTGTTGACTGGAGTGAAGCTGGCTGACCGCAGAGGGTGAGGTTACACGCAGAATAACGAACAGCAGGGAGCTAAATGTGCTCATCTACATGGTGATAACAACATAATGGCACTTTGAGAAAAAATATAAAACAGTTGCACAAAGAAATATCAAGTGTATTTTAATCAGAGGTGGAAAGTACATTTACCCAGGTACTTAAGTACCATTTTAAGGTTCTTGTACTTTTACTTGAGTAATTCTAATTTATAGCAGCTCCGCTACACACAAGTTAGATATTGTACTTTTTGCTCCTTTACATTTATTTGTCAGCTATAGTCACTATACTTCATCGACTATGTTTTTAGATGCAAAATATACAAATATTACACAGTACAATGACATGATATGATGGAATACTATACATGAAACTAGCTGAAAGCAGTGTTGGAAGACATACACAGAACCTCTACTTAAGTAAAAGTTGCGATAAAAATACTCTCTTAATACAGACCTGACTACAAATTATGGAGCCATGCCAAAACACTTGTATTTGTTTATACGTAAGAAAGAGCTACTGTACATTTGCCAGCAGTTACTAATGTTCAGGCCCCTTAGGGAAGTGGCCCATGTATGAAGAGGAAAACGTAAATTAATCACCTCACTGTGATAAACAATGGGGAATTCCTATATAATGGCTCACTGTTAAGCTGTCTGATACACACTTACTTCCCACCCAGTCAGATCCTATTTATAGTTAGAAGAGATAGTGGTGATTAATACTGAAATTTAATGCAACAGCAGCTTTAAAGTTTGTGTTTCTCTGAAGGTCTCACAAGAAAATCAAAGATGATGAGAAGGAAAAAGAAAAGAAGGAAAAGCCAGAGAGGGGCCACTGTTTCTGGGAGAGCGTTACCATGACAATGAGGCAGATCTCACCCACCAAAAAACTGGAGAAGATGGAAGGCTGGGAGCCGCCTCACCTTGAGAACTTAACCGAGACTGTGACCGATGAAGCCCCAGAGGACAAGAGCCAAAAAGGGGGCTCTCCAGTGTCTTTCCCCGAGTCTCTAGGCCTTCCATTAGAATTGGCCTCCTGGGGGGGGCGAGGTCTGGAAGAGGACTCTTCCCGCTATGCTAACCTGTCGGACTCCAAGGATTCAACAGCTGCTGTCAGGTGGACGGCCCGCGCCAAAGTCAAGCTGGCCGGCATCAGCAGGATGAGCAGAGGGATTGTGTCGGACAGTGCGTGGGAGGGCTTTAAATAGTAGCCATTTAACCTTTGATACCCCGTCCTCCCTCCTCACTGTGTACCATCAATAAAGAGGATGAAGACCTGAACCAAATATCTGCTTGTCTCAGTAGTCTAGTTTTGGACAAAACCGATGTGTTAACTGGTGTTGAGATGCTGCACTGCAGCAAAGCCCTCAACATAACACATGAAGTTTGTCCCTAGTATTTTAGCTTTGAAGTCCATGAAGACAACATATGTCAGTTTTATCAATGGTTTTTTTGGCAGGACTGCCACTTTTGAATCACTGGCATCAATTTTAAACTACAACAAATGAAAGCCTTAAACTACTGTATTATTTTAACTGTGATATCCACTGGCCTGGCATGTAGATATTTGATATTGCCAAGAAATGAGAAAAGTGATTTTCATATGATTGTTGTGGTTGTTAGTAGTAGAATTGATGAAGAATATGCAAAACCTCCTACTGAAGACTTTATAATGTTAGAATGGTTTTCAGTTAATTTATGTCCATGCAGTTACAGCATCTGAACGAGGAATGTGAGCTTGAAGCCTTAGTTTAAACATCGATAATGTGAGTGAGTCACACTTGGCACCGCAGAGGAGTTCTGTTGTTGTAATGGGAGTATATGGGGGTACTGGTTGCAATCATGTCACATCAGCTATTGTAATTATGAGCTTCTGACTTGCACTTAGCGCTCACAGTAACATCCACGTTGTAACTGCTAAACTGATCTTTCCCAAAGCTCTGTTACATCCAACGCGGCACTTACTGCCTGAAAACCAAACAAATATCAGTGCAAGACCACCATTCAAAGTAATTAAACCAATTTAAAGTTATATTATAAATGCACAGTATTTTAATAATCAAATGACAAACTCTGTAACTGTGCGGCCATCTTGATGATGTGAACGCTTGCAAGTTTTTTCCGTGTTTGTTGTGTTGTTTAAATCTGATGCTGAATATTTATAAAACTTGTAATGATGAAAAGATAAGAGCCAAAACCTGTATTCTTATTTTTTTGTAAGAAAAGCAGTGACTTCCCTGCACCTGTCAAGTGCCTTGTGTCAAAAGAATGACGTCATGTGTTTGCTGGAAATTTGAAGTAGACCAGATCATCCTTTGAGCACAAACCCGCCTGTGCTCATCACAACATCCACACAGGTGCAGGTGAGTTAACCCAGCATGCACCTGTGCTGCACCAGCTTTGACATATTTTCCCAATAATGGTGTAATGAAAACCATTAGCCTCACCAGCAGGAGGAGATGCAGTTTGCGTGCATTATAGCCAGCTGGTCAGTTCTTTAATGTGGTTTGCATATCTGTATATTGTACAGGACTGAAACGATGAAGAGTAATTTAATTTCTACAATGATTTGAGATTTTTTTTTAGTTGCATAAGAAACTTTTTAAAATTCATGCTATTGGTCTTTGTTTCTCTCTTCTCTTCTTTCCTTTGTTTTAATCTGTTTACTGGATTTGTTTGATACTGATGTCTGCTTCATGGCAGCCAGAAGTGAACACAGATACGGGGTCCACTTCCAAGGATGCCTGTATCCTGTATTTATTCACTAAAAGGCTGGGTCACATTTTCTCAAAGCAGAATAAAGCTCCAGTCTGACTGTCTGGCTCTACTTCTTTCAACACTTCGCAGTTTGGAATATGTACACGGCTTGACTTACCGGACTTCACTTTCAACACCCAGATGGTTTTCACTGATACAGTGGCCAGAACAGAAACAGTCTACCGAAGTCCTTCATCATAAGGCATTTAGAGCTGGCCTGCTACTTGTAAGACAAAGTTATTTTTGAAATGGAGTATCACAGAAATTGTTCTGTAAACACTTTACTACAATCTCTAAATTTGCAGTTTTTTTTTGTGTATTTCATTTTCCAGAGTGAATTTTACTTCGCATTGAACTGCCTTTAATAGAAAGAATATTAATCATGAAACTTTGCTTTTCTGTTCATTGACAATTTTTCCAATATTTTAAGGAGGGAAGACAGTTATATCCAGGAGGGAAAAAAACACATTTATATAGCAAACAAACAATTCCCAGTGACCCAATACAAAAAGAAGCAGGTTTTTAGAAATATTTTATTATCATTATTTGCTAGTTCCTGTCCCATAAAAGTCATGATAGTACCATCAAGAGTATTTGGAACAGTAAAGGAATATTACAAAAGTTGTAGGAAGGATACAAAACTTTTTTTTCCCCTCATAAATAATGTTTTACATTTTCTCTGTCTGTCACTTGACAGCTCTGACATAAGTAGATTGTAAAAATTTGTACGGCTAATGGAGTTTTACATTATTTTCTTTTAGTGTCGACGCCTTCACTGTACACAGAGCACAGCACGAATTCACGGGACAACAAACAGTATGTAAACAGAGACTCAAACATAACATGCATTCAGTTATTGCAGAAAAATACCACCAAAACAAAACAAAACAGAGCAAAAAGCAGAAAACTTTAACCCCATTAAATAAACAACATGAGTCATCTTATTCTCCCACATAAAATTTTTACTTTTTGCCATTTAAAAAAAAAAAACCCTGGACACGTTACCTATCATCACTTACCTACCATAAACATGCTACAACTCCTTTTACATATAAATCCTTTCAAAATACTCATATTAAATTTACATATTATTTTTTCTTTTCTCTGTCAGTTGAGCTTTTTTTTGTCAAGAAGACAAACATTGGTGTGGAAAGAGGAAAAACATAAAAGTTTCTTTTATATTTTCACCCATCACCAACATTCTTAAAATCAACAAACATACACATGTAATCTTTCCTATGTCTTATGGAAACATTTGTGCGTAAGGAAATGAAGACATAAAAAAGTAATTTCTTTCAGTTGAAGCCCTTTGTATTTGGGTAAAAAGTCTCGTACACACTCTTGGGTTGGGAAACGGATACTTTGCTTTAAGAACACCGTGGAGGGTTTAAAACTTGAAGAGGTCGATAAAGTGCTGTGGAGAGATGGGCATGAGGCAGCTGTCGGGGTCGTTGGCTGTGCACGGATGGCCACAGTCCTGGAACACAGTCGACAACCAAATTGTTACCAATGAAGCAGAGAAGCAGTTACTCATGCTGTGATGTACCACACTGGAGTCAGATGCATTAGGTGTTAGTAAATTCTTGATGATGCAAGTGAGTGAATGGAGATTCATGCATCACTAAATTTAAGTGGATTGCACCACACATACAAGTTCTTACGAGGAGGTTACTTTAACCTGCAATAACTGAATTCTTGGCAGTGGAAACAAGCTGTAAACACAACACTGACATATTATCACCATATAAAGTTAACATGGCGAACTTGGTGGCACAGTAGTCAGTTCATCCATTTTTAATAAGAAATGATTGATTACAGCTGCTTTAACAATGCAGCTTCTCACTGCCAGGTGTAACTGTAGTGAAGCTAACTACACCAACCACAAATCAAAACCAGCTTGCTAATATATTACCTTTTTAAAGTAAACATATCTGACCTGACAATTGACTTAAATGCCATAATGATGTAAACTGTAGTAAAAATGATAGCATGTTGGCCTCACTCTCAACTCACTCTGACTAAGAACTAAAGAACTTTAAATACAAATTTAACGACAGATTTACAAATAGCTGGGGCAACACAATCCTGGATATTAGTATTGACAGTGAAACATTTGTGCTAAACTAAATGACAACTGACAATTTTCTTTCAGAGTTTATGATCAAACAAACATGTTTTTTTTAACAATGTGGTTAGAGGCGATTAAAAAGTCAGCAGAGAGGCACTGTTTACTAAACACACCTTGAGCGAAACATGATGAAATCAATTAAAACAGAGAACAGTAAAACACAAAGATCAACACATGGAAAAAGATAAGTCATAAAATGATCATGGGGGAAAAAATGTGACGAACTGTCAACTGAAGAAAAAGAAAGGCATGATGGGACAGAAAGTACCTTGAATAACAAAGCCAGGTGGCGATCCTTAAGGAATCAGGGAAAAAGGGAACCAGGTGGAGAGGCAGGAAGGAGGGGAGAAAAGCAAGGAGAGGGATGCAGAAAGGGAAGAGGTTAAACAGTACAGGGACCCAGCCAAGGAGGACAACAAGACTGTGGGTAGTAAATAATCAAAAGGAGGACAAATAGGGATTGGATATTGTAGCCACAATGGCATGTTTAAGCCAAGCACTGTTAGTTTCTTTACATACAATATTCCCCAAAGCTTATGAACTCAAACTCTTTGTCTTACATGTGATTAGAGATCAGCTCTCATGTGTCATGTGTCTAACAAATAATCAGGTCATACCAGTCACTTGTTTGACCTTTGACTGTTAAGTATACAGATATGAGCACATGAGTTCACAGTATTGGTGGACCACGATGATTAGCTTTATCAACAGTTCTAATGTGCACTTATATGTGTGACTTGTTTGTTCCCTTTTGAATAATCAGAACATTGATTTGAAAAAGCAATTTTTCATGCTGGTCTCAATAATTAAGAATAAATTGATCTGCAATTAGAAAAGTATAAAGGTATAAAGATGGGACTTCAATTATACCTTAACACCTAAGTGACTGCCAAAGACAGCAATCAGTGTGAGAGAGGCTCAAAGTGTATCTGAGACTTTTCCTCAACGATAAAAAATGTTTTGTCTCTTTGGCCAAAGGAATACAGAGTGTTCTGGTACAAACTTGATACTTGCATTGATAGACTCCCACGTATATACAGTTTAAAAGATATCAGGACTGTGAGAAACATCACTTTGAATAGTGCAGGTTCAAGTTATTGTACACACACTCAGTCTGCTTCTATTAAGCTTCAGTTTATAGCGGTGCAAGGTGATAAAAGTAAAAGCTAAACCAATCAGTTACAGTTGCACTGAACTTATTGTAACCTTCTTTTAAGATTTACCTCCAATGTAATATACAACTTGTAATTTACCTGCAGTCTGATGAACAGTACTGGTTTGTCATACTGTCTTTCCTACATGATGTGAATGTGACTGTAGGTGTGTTTAATATTGTTTACCTTCCAGAAGAGGATGCTACAGTGTTTGCAGAAGTGCAAGGTGTCGCCGTACTGCTCCTTCATGGGATAGTGTTTCTGCAGGGTGAAGTACATTAGCTTCCAGTCCACGTTGTCACTCTTGGTTAGGACCAGATTCCTACAGAACTGCATTTGTGTAGTGAACCCACGCGCACGCACACACACACACACACACGGATGTTAGGAAACACTCAGTCTCAAACCCTTTAAAACATAGGGGACATTAATGTAATTATAAATGGAACAAAGGATAATTAAATATGACCAAGAACAATTTCTCATTAACACCAATCCTGAATGGATGTGAAAGAAAGCCACAGAACACAGTGAACTGAGAGTTAACTGCTGTAATTCCGACCTCTAGTGGCCAACAGGGGAATTAATTATCATCCTGCTGGGGCAGCCACCTCTTTTAATACTTTGACATGAACTATTATTGTAACTGTTGTCCGTGTCTGAAGATTAACTAATTTGTTCTCTCACCTGTTTGTCTGAGAAGTGAAAGTGGCACAGCCTCTTCCACAGTGTCCGGTTCTCACTGAGGATGTGCAGCGTAGGCGTGGCCTGTCCCAGGTTTATGATGTCATAAGCATCAGACAACTTGTAAAGGATCTTATTCTGCATGTAAAGTGGCAAGTCGTTGAATGACATACCATCGCACATTTGCTGTGGAATAAATAATCACCAATAAATGAAGTTAGAGCTGTACAATAGGTGTGTTACCATTCATATGCAGTTTAGCATTAAATGACCAGTTCCACCGGCTTACACCCCCCTCCATATTTCATGTTCCTCATTAAATTCAGTTTATGAGTGGATGTAGCATAGCATGTAAGCAATGGCACTGTATCAGCAAGTCACCACAGTAGATAGTGTTTGTAGACAGACCCATGCACACGCACACACGCATACACTCATCCACTATTTCTACCTTGGGGATCTGAAGGTTGTTGAGCTGCTGCTGCCATTTGAGAATGGTCTCCAGTCGGCACAGCCAGATGTTGACATTGCCCACAAGAACACATCTGCCAACATGGACAGTCAGATTGTGCAGCGTCGAGCTCAAGTCCTGTAGCAGCTCCTTGACAAGGCGAGGATTGTAGTGGTCCTCTAGGACTGGAGCGCAAATTTGAAAAATAAACAGACATACAAAGAAAAAAGGGAAACAAAAAGATAAAATATACGCAGCCAAAAAAGGCTTACAGAAATTCCATGTTTTGTTATAATAATAACAATGTATCATCATGTATTTCTTCTGTTTTCCAACATGTCTCAGAAACAGAGTTAGTTAAAAAATGTTTTTAAGTTGCTAGAGCTGAAAAGAACAAATATTTGTCTGTCAGATGAACAGTCACCCTCAGTGTACAGAAATAACATTACAGAGAAGATTGATGAAACACTGTAGAATTATACAAGCACTGACTAAATCGAAAGGAAAAGGAAGTTTCATCATATACATGTGACAGACTGAACGTCAGTCTAGATCTGATCATTGCTTCACCAGGCAACAAAATCCCATAATGATGGAGCACACTGGTCCTACTGGTTTTGTGGTCTGGCATTCATGATGAGACTGCTGGGAGTAGCAAGAGAAACAACATCTTCTGGTTGTTAAGTGCCTTGCCTTTTGTGAAAGAAATGTTGAAAAAAGCTACTTTTACATATCTGCCTGTTAACAGAATAGGTAATCAGTCTTTGGCTCAGGTCCTCTTACCCTTTCGCACAATCTTCTCCAGTATATTGAAATAGTTTTTCTGTGCAGCTCCACTCAAAGAAGTCAGCTGAGACCTGGCTATTAGCTGGAAAAGCTGTGGGCGAGGGACAGAGTGAGAGAGTTTGAGGAAGAGTGGCTTGTACAAGTCATACAACCGTTTCAAAAGCATCTGGAATTAAGAAGTGTGATCGCTCACTTTTGCAACATAGTTAAATCTTCTCAAGTCCTGAATGGCACTGGAAAAGTCTAGACGGTTGAGCGCTTCACCAAGTGTGCAGTATCCATGTCGCTGTAGGCACACATGAAAATACACACATACACACACACACACACACACACACACACACACACACACACACATACAGTTAAATAAAAATAAATGAAGCTGTTTGAATTGACAGAAAATAAATCCTTCATTTGAAAACTGTAGTAAAGGCTCCAGTACCCACTTCTTTTGTGCTTCCTTTCTGCACGTAGATCCATTTATCCCTGAAGACAACTAAAGAACAGAAAAGAAAACACATTGTTTGTTGGAGTATAAATGTTTAGTGTACATGTACATAATGTGTAATGAGCCAACAAAAAATGACAAGCACCTGTGCAATCTAATGCGACCCTATCCAATATCCTTACAGCAAATACTACATTTGTAAACAATATCGTAGATGAATGTTCAGTTTTGTTACAGTTGTGAATTAAGTCTATAGTTTGTGATTATTTTTGTACTGAATTGAGGGCATGTTTAGAGTAGTCCACTTCTTCAAACTGCAGCTGTCTGTTCAGATTAAAATTAACAGAGTACAGCTTCAATGTTCAACTTTTTTTTTGAGAAATAGACACATGGGCCAAATTTTAGGAAGCTGACTGATCTTAATAACATGTGTATGACATTTTGCAGCCCCAGGACTTCCAGGTGCACAGCATTGCATTATTGTATCTGTCCTTTTTGAATAAAGTTAAAAACAACTACAACAAAAGACAGGGTTACACATAATCACAAATAATGATGCCTTTTGTGTGGTTCATCTACCGTGTCTCCTACAGATGTGCCCAAACACATTCACGATGGTCACTGTTGACTTTCCATTACTGTTTATCCTCTACTGTATTATAATGGTGTTCTATAAGAAGAAGTGGTATGCAGAAGTAAGTAGGCACTGATGTCATATAATACTAATGTTTACAGGTACTTCATACAGAATGGATTGCAGTGGATGAAGAAGCTGTCAATTTAATGTAATGGAATAGAAGTAGAAAGTAGCATAACACATGTGCCACACAGCTTTTCACTACTGTCTCCCTTATTTTGTGCCAATGACTTTCAGATGTGAAGAAGTATGTTCTGTAAAGAGTTGAGTTCCATTTATGGACAAACTGTCATGGATGGAAGATTTCAGTCCTGAGCAATGTTTCCCACAGGCTCTGTCTTAGGACAGCTGAATGACTAACACACAACACTAATGTTTAAGTAGTGTAAACACACTCTAAAAAGTATCACTGATAAACACTACAGATGTAAAATTTACAATTAGCCATCACATACAGTACTGTAAACTTCAGTATGATAAAATGACCAAGTGAATAAAAAATGTTTAGTCCAATAAATGCCAATGCAAACAAAGCTTTCAATAGGTGGTTGTCCCTTGACTGCAATTATGGCTTGTACCTACCTGTCCTTATGCTTTGCTCTTATTGCAAAAAGGACCTTTTATGTATTATCAAAAACCCTTCGTTGTGCCAAAACAGTGATTATGTGTTACTGAACTCACACTGAGATTTGGTGTTATTATTGTAGAAGTCCTTTTTCCTCTTTGTTGTGGCGAGCTCACACACATCTCCGACAAACAGGTTTTCATTGTTGCCACTGCAGAGCCTGTTTAGACAGAGGATGCAGGGGAGGAATTTGTTAATAACATTGCATGCGACTGTGACCAGTCCACATAAAAACAAAATAATTACAAAGCACTGTAAAGAATCTGCTCTGCTACAACATCCTGGAGCAAATCAGTGACTTTTTACTGATGTCCTGTGAACACATGCAGGTGATTTTCATATCCAACAAACGTGTTTCATCCATCATTAAGGGCACATTTAGCCAATGAGAAGAAATTAAACAGAAAGTAAATGCCCATAGATTCTTATGGTTAGAAATCTAGCTGTTGCAGAGCCAGAAGAACCAGGATGTTAAATTATAATGATTCACAGTGACTGCTGTGATGGAGGACGCACTGCAGATGGTAGACATACTGTATATCCCGACTCTGAGAGACAGAATCATAGATGTGACTGTATCTGTTATTTCTGGCAGCCATTCTGAGCCTGTCAGTTGATAAGTATCTTTATTATTTCTGATAAGATATCTTATCATTTTGGCAGCTAAGCTCAACTTGACTTATGATGACATGGTAGGTTTGAAATGGCTCAACTCCAGCAGAAACCCAAATGAAAACATGTACGAAAACATGTACATACATGTTATACAGATTATCCATGTGTGTATGTTTGTGAGGATCTGTACACATTTCTTGCTATTCATGACATTCTCTACAGGTCAGTGACAGCAAGACCACTGTGATCTTCTAAATGTCTAAATTTAATCTTAACATATTCTCTCAAATGGGTCAAATAATAGATGTGTTAGTGTCCTTGTGTTACTGTCCTAAACAGAACTGAAATATGCCTAAAACACCATTATAATGTACAATGAAGGAGAACATGTCCTTTTGCACAGTAGTTGAGAACAATTTTTTTTAAAAGTTCCCACTGCAAATAAAACATAATTACATAAAATTTTATAAAACTGAGACTGTGATCTGTACCAAGACCTGTTCCTCCATAAACACATTTTCCAGTGACCTTTAACTGAAAGATCAAAGGGCTGGACTGGACTGATAATTGACTCTTCATGCATTAATAATATACTGACTGAAGCTGAGCACCTGACTGGCAACACTACCAACTTGGGGAGCACAATATATTAGTCAGCTGATCATACTGGGCAATAATAGCTTGAAAATATATTACTAGCATTAGGACTGATATCAAAATTATGCCTACTATTATCACATTATTGTTATGTGAATGATTGTTAATGTTTTTTTCAGGAATTGTTTAGCTGTTGTCCATTTGAGAATATAAACTCAACACATACTGTTACAACTTCGACTGTTGGTCAGACAAAATGAGCAGTTTGAATACCTGGGCTCAGAACACTTATAATGTATTATTTCTGTTACTTTCAAACTAAAATAAGTATTTGATTAATCAAGAAAATAATCAGCAGATAAATCTATTTTGACAACAATCCTTAGTTGCATACAGGTACCACAACAAACTACTGGCATCACTAAATGCAGCAAAACGAACATGATCCCTCAACAGCTTCCCACCAAAAAAACTGCAAGTTCTGTTTGGTATTTGGAAACTGAATAATGTTTTTGCAGTGGTGATGGTGATTTTTATACTTGGTGCAAACTGGAAGACTCAGTCGCTCCCTTATAAAATTGTACTCTTTTCATTTATCACACACTGATGAAATGGTTGCAACAAATAAACGTTTTTTATAACTCCACCCCAGGCTCCAGAGTACATGCAACAGGATATTTATTCTAATGCAAAATGCAAGGGTTAGGTTCTATGCAAGAGCTTTCAGAAGATGGAGGAAAATTTTACTTCACCAAAATGATCAGTCATAATCTGGATGATTTCATCACACATGCTTTTGGTTAAGAAACAAATATTCTTCTTCAGCATCATAAGTGAAGACGTGGCTTTGACTGCGAAGTCAACTGATCGGGGTGAATGAGCTCTACAGTAATCCCTCGTCTCTATCCATTTATCCAATTGCCCTGGCATACATACAAACACACATGCAAGCACAGTAATCTGTCACAGTGAATTACAAGAGAGGAATGCAATAGCCTGGCTTTTTTACACAGGTTGCATGCAGAGCACCAGCCTCCACAGAGTCAATAAAAGACATCACAGAGCAGCAGGAAAGTTCAGAAGGATTTGTGGATATTTAAACTGTATCCTGAAATACATGAGCTAAGAGGGAGAAGGCTATGAGGGATGTAAACGAGGAAGAAAACAAATGGTGGTGACACTTAGGTGTTTTACTTCTCTTATTCAAAGTAACATAGACAGATGCTTTCAAGCAGCATTTATTACGTGCTTTATCAAGTGTACGACGACTAAATAATCACAACATGACAGCAAAAAGAGGGTTCAAAACCTCAGCTGACACTCAACCGTCCAACACCTACAACACCACAGATAATAGGTGACAGAGGTTTGTTGACATTCAGAGACACATTATCATCTAAACTACTTCTGTAACACTGTGTACCATGCCAGTGGCTATCATAATGCGTCCCTTTCTTTCTGGCCTACATGTGTTGGTCTGCCAAACGTACCTCCGCTGCATGAAGTCACTGGCCTTTCTAAGTGAGGTTACATTTGGAGAGCAGCCAATCTGAAGAGATGACGTCACTGGTTATTGTCTGTTGCCATGCCCTTTGCTTTTCTGTAAAAAGACTGCTGACAAGCTGATGTGACACTGTGAGGTAGTGTTAGTTGGCTGATCAATAGAAAAGGCGACACTGTGGCCTGAAGGAGATATCACCAACTGGAGCTGAGATTCCACCTTTAACCCTATCAATACCAGATGCGTATCTTGCTATCAATCAGTGCATCGATAGCTTTGGTCCTTAAAAATGAGTAAAAGTAAAATGAGCTATGTTATACCTTATGTGTGAAAAGTGTGGCTGTGTCCCATTCTCCTAAATATTGGAAGAGGTTGTAAAGAGTGTTATTTATTGGTTATGATATAATCATCTTGAGTGAAACTTAGGGTAAAAACTCCTTCAGTTTTTGTTGATTTTATTTATTGGCTGTGATGCTATTGTAAACCCCATAGTTGCTGCCAGATACACCAAAAAATAAACTACATATCAATCAGGCAGTCAATCATACATTTTGAATGCAACCATTCACATCAAATATTTATTTATTTTCAAATGGCCCTGGCAACCTGAAAAAGGAAGTACAGAAGGAAATACATTCATATTTGAAGCTAATAAGTGAGAGAGTCAGATAAATGCAGGTAGCACAAAGAAATACCAAGCCATGTACAACTGCTGTAAAAAGTAACAGGACACGCATACTATAGGAAGAAGGAGCTGACTGCCTTTGTGTGACTACTCATCATCATTGGCATGCGTCAAAACAGTTCATGTTTCCTGCAGATAACAAGGCAAGCTGTCCTGCTGAAAGGTAACCTAGACTGCCCACAGTGACACATGCAATACAGACCAGAAACATCGAAATACCTGAACATGTTTTTAGTTCAACTGCTCTCAACAAACAGTGGTCATTCAAGTCTTTCAATCCACTAAACGCCTTTGGGTGTTTAACAACTACCCTGTATCAGGGAATGTAGTTTTCAATGGTGACAAAGTCCTTGGCAGGTTAAGTCAGTGTTACTAGATTACAACAGGTTATATATGACAAACCTGGGTATCATATATAACCTATGTCTGTGTTCAATAATAAGAGATTAAGGGCATAGTTTGCAAAAGAAAGTCAGCTCAGTTCACACACAAAAACATCTGACCTAGATATTTCAGATTCATAGACACATATCAAAAACCACCTCAACTGTTTTGGACCTTTGCTCTAACAGGATACACTGACAAGTTGGTTTCATGTAAAATGACCCTCTTCAGTCACTCAAGCCAGCCCTATACTCAATGTTGTCTGTTGCTATGACGCCCCGCTGGCAGCGACAGCCTGCAATTGTGGGATGTAAATCACCTCATCAAAGACTCTCTGCTATGGCCCTAATAAGAGTTGGGTGAATGATTTCTCTCTGGCGTTTTGTAGCTATGGCCTTTCTGGTCCATATTGGCCAAGACATTACCAGTGTTTTTATCTACTAACTCTCAGCCACTTGCTCCTTTTCACCCTCCTCCATTAGGTTAGGTTTCTACCACAGATCACCCGCACACTTGTTCAACTTCAACTCTGTTGGTATCCTGAGGGGAAATCTGGTTTGCAGCCAGGCATTTACACATACAGCAGCTCACGTTGAGCAGCAAACAACAACAATCCATGGTCAACATAGATCATCACTAGTAAACACACAACAGTTAGGGTGTCCCGGTGGCCTATCGGTTTAAGACATTGACCATATAATCGCAACATAATGCTTTTGTTGCATGTCCTACCCCATCTCTATCCCTTCATTTCCTGTCAGCTGTCTACTATCCTCAGTTTAATAAAGGTAAAATTCCACTCAAAACAATTTTGAGATTTTTTTGTGGAAGTTGGACAGTGTCTGACAAACCAAGGCAACATTTAGAGTGAGCCTGGCAGCCTATCAGCTGTAGTCAGTCCACTTTTGAACAGAGTTGCAGGGCTAATAAGATCAAAATAAGATAAAATCTACTCTTTTTTTTTTTTTACAGTGGTTTAGTAAGACAGAATTCTGAGCAACTTCCAATTCAAATGAGCTAAAAAAAAAATCATATCCATATACATGACAACTAAATTACTGAAGGAACTCAGAATTACAGTGTATTGAAGTATTTGCAATATATCTGTGGAATAAGCAAAAATGCTTTTAGGGAGAAACATTTTTGTTCAGCTGTGTTACACTGTGTTGTTATGATTATTGAAATCTCAGAATCTATAAAGTCAAAATAAATTGAACAAAAAAGTGCAATAAAAGCAACCTGCTTTGACTACATTTATAGCTGAGCTCTGAATATGAGTTGTTCTTTTGTTTTGTTTTTTACATTGCAGGTGTCCTTGCTGTCAGTCAATAAAACCAACAGGGGAAGGCAGGGTATAAACTGCTGGACAATATGGCTGAAATCAAGATCATACTGTTGGTAAGATATTTCATGCATAAAAATACTTTAATGAAATTGAAGTTCAGTGCAATTAACTGTATTCTACCTATAATTACATCAGACAAAACTCAAAATGTGTAAAGCAAAAACTGCAAAAAAACACCAACTAATTTTTGATTACATTTTACGTTGAATCATTATTCTGGAACGCAGAAAATGTTTGACTTTATGATTCTGTCATCAAGATATGATACCACTAAAGGTCAATAAATGTTCACATCAAATTGTTGTCCAGCCCTTGAATATAGAATGCCTGTGGAAATTAATCTAAGCCCTGCATAAGAGGGCAGACAGGAGAAGACTATAGAGGATATTGGTTTCATAATTAGTTCAATTTAATCTAATCAGGTAAATTACTGACTCATTAAACTTACAAAGTTTGACCCAGACAGTACTAGTAAAAAAAAGGCAGATTTAGGTGACAAAGGTGAATAAGTAATGATCTTACTCCTTCAAGTCTATTTCTCTGTTGTTGTCCTCCAACTCGTGTCCATAGAAGACAATCCTCTTCCAGCCGTGCTCTGTCTTTGTCCAGCTCCATCCTGGTGACCTCCAGTCCTGGCCCAAGAAAGGCATTGTAGCTGGGGGGAGGGAGGGGACAGTGAGCAGAGAGGGTCGCTGCCACTCCAAACACCTGGAGGGTTAACATGATGTTGTTACAAAAAGGGATTTATTTTTGTGCTCTGGGTTATATGGAAGCAGAGAAAAGACATAATGATTTTAATATTATAAGCAACTGAATACTATCATGAAATCCAAACATTGAGACAGGAAACTCAAGCCTTCAATGTTCAAAACAATATATCCAATTCATTTTCCCATCTTAAATTTCAATTTAAAAAAAATCTGGTCACTCATATTGGATCTGTGAAATTCAGAACATCAGAGCTGCTGAGCGTAATCAACTGATAAGACATCTGTCCTATCAGCTGACAATCACTCTGTCATTTAGTCAGAGTAAGAGAAGTTCAAATGAGGGACTGGAAACATGGGATACTTTTATCTAAATTCGTGAACAAGTTTTTAAAATTCTACCTGCTGAAATTACCTTCTAGGCATTAAAAAAAGAATTCTAAACACATAAATTCTGATTTTCAAAGCAAAATATTTAATTGCAATAAATTCAGCGATATTTAAATTTCAACATCAAATGCCCAGCAATAAGCAACACATAAAAATTATTATGGCCTTTCTTTGCTTCCAGTGCTTCAGTCTGCAGCCTGAGACTATGTTTATTGTCTGACAACAGGAGGAGGGCCAGTAGATTTTTACGTTATCTATATTGAGCCCGCGCTATTACGGGTTAAACACTGAGATGCAAAATCGCTCAATGCACCAAATTGCATGAATAACACACCTGACAACGACTGTGGCGCATTTACCTTGAGCATTTCCACAATAACACCGTTAGCAAACCAAGTCGTTCCAATGTAACGGTAAAAAAAAAATGAAGATATGACAAAGTTGTCAGTCGACTCAGCGCAAATAATCACGACAGGAAGACAATAGAGAATCTCAACTACGCTATAATACAGCTGGGAGTTTAAATAATATGGCTTAACAAACCTTTACAGGCAGGCGACTCCTTTGTTGTATGGTCTGTCTCAGCCTCTGCTTCTTGTCTCCCCTGCTTGCTGTGCTGGAAATATTGACGGAAGTAAACACAGTGCGGACCCTAGAATTCGTTCACGCCCCCTGCTGCTCTCTGATTGGACAAAAGGTCTGTATTTATCTTGTTGCTACCCAGTGTCCCGTCGGTCATTGGCTGATGGTGGTTGTCAATCACTTTCTTTTTTTATGCCTTCTGTTTTGTTGGGGCTTTTTCCTACACGTGACAGAGGACTGCGCACATGTACTTATGTTTTGATTTTGAGATGGGGGATGGAAACTGGACCACTGGACACTGTGTGAGTGATGATGTGGTTATTGAGGAACATTTCTTAAACATATATGATCGTTGCTTTAAACTGCTGAATTAATACACTGTGTTAGCAACCAGAAGTCTCAAGTTTAGACCTTATAATATATGGTATTTTATCTAGGTCGTTGTTTTATTGTTGTTGGAACTAAAATTCTGTACTTGAGTACGTTTTTGACTTCAGTTTTTCCATTTCATTCTATTTTTTTTTTTACTTCTACACCACTAAAGGGAAATATTGTACTTTTTTACTCCACTACATTTATCTAACAGGTAAATAAAGATTTTTCAATTAAAAAAGCGTATACAATACAAAGCATTGTTAAAAAGGAAACCAGTGGTTCCCAATCTTTTTGGCTTGTGACCCCTTCCAAAAAAGTGTTTAGTTGGAACCACCTGTCAGATTTCAAATGTCCATGACTTGTTTCCAAGATTTATTTTTCTTCTTTACTCTCATATAAATCATGTCATGGCCTTATGGAGGGGCCAGACCTGGGAACAAACTGGACTAAGCTCCCCATGACAACTACCAAACTTGAGCATCTTCAACAGTAAAATGGTGCATCCGTAATAACAATCTAATAATGTCACATGGAAGAACATATCTGTCACAGGAGAACTTTTTTCTGCAGAAAAAGTCTTTGTTTAATTGGCAAGTCCTCACAAGTCTCTATATGCAAGTCATGTTATATAGGTCACTGTTTGAGTGTACACAATATAATTTTATACTTTATTATGTCAGTTTCACATAGTTAATCAAATCTGTTTTGTTTATGCATGCTCATTTGTGACATGATGGACTACGTCTGAATAGCTGCTGCCATTAGATATTATGTTTTGAAGGCAAAAGCGAAACCTGTTGCATTGTCTTCCTCAGATAAACTAAAAATAGAACTTCATATCAAGCATGCATCCAGACTGGTTTATGTGTAGTAATTGTTCTTATGGATATCATAATATGTGATTTAATTGCAGTCAGAGGCTTGGTGTGACTAGCCAGAAAACATATTTTCCTAGATTTTAACACAGTAATTAGGTTAAGTCTTGTTGTTAGATACTGCCCCCTTTAGGCTACATACAGTAAAGTCAAAGTTTTCACACAGGGATCTACTGTAATCTACCTATTGATGCACATATACTATTAATCAAAGTACATCTACACTATTTATACATATATCCATATACATTGCTTTCCTTTCAATTGCAATTGACCACTTAAAGTAGTTACAGAGTCATTAGATGAATCTTCAGGCAAAATCATTTATCCTGCACCTGCCCTAAATATAGGACAAGATGTGAACAAAACTACTGAACATTGTTACCATGAAAAAAGTTAAGCAGTGATTAACCTAAAAGAAAAATCCTTAACAGCATTATTTGTGTAGCACTAATTTCACAAACTGTACAGTACTTCAGTATAAAAGGCAACAGCAAAATCCAACTTGAGTGATAGATTGACCCTGGCTTGACATTACAGTTCTTATTGTCATTTTAGGCTACGGTAAAGTGGTCTGAGAGCATAGTAAAACTTTTACATTCAAAAAAAGAAAAAAACAAAACAATGAACAAAGATACAAGCCCACTGCAATGCAAGCAGTGTATATTTTCAGCCACTAATCACATATTCTGCATTTACAATACACATGCGTGTTAAGTGCCATTTTGGTAACTGTAACTGTACAATATCACCCAGATATTAAGAAGGCACTTTGAGTTCTGGCTACAAGCAAGTTTACAGGACATGACTTGCCATGAGGCTTATGGAGAAGTCAAAGGTGTGTCTACAGCATATAGTCAGAGAAACAGAGTGTATGGTAATTCTGTTAAGACACTGAAACAACAACAGTCTGTCCCTTGCTTTTTTCCCCCACTCATGCTACAACATCTGAGCTTTGATCAGTGAAAGCAAGTTGGCTAAAAGACAGAAAGAGACAGAAGGTGGTGAAGAAACAGAGCAGGCAGAGATAGGGTGGGAAGTGGATATACAGTTACAATGGGTCACTGGACATAAGCCTATCAGATTATTAGATACATTCCTCTCACGCAGGACTCAGGGAGCAACTGCTGGAAAATATCCAGCATCCTTCAAGCATTTTAGTTTGGTCAGATTGACCAGATTCATTACTGCCAATAAGTAACACTAGACCATGTTATTGTAAGAAGCACTTTTAAAATGAAACTGTGGTGTGTGTGTGTGTGTGTGTGTGTGTGTGTGTGTGTGTGTGTGTGTCAATGTAACGGAATGTACACTATTCACCTGAAAAGAAAAGAAATAGGGAGTACGCTCATTGCCTGATGAACGTAAAAGGCAGGTTACATAAGTAGTGATTTAAGACTACTTTGACTAATGTTGAGGGACATTTTTTTAAGATGGGTTTATAAGGTGCAACTAATGACTTTATTAATGGATAATAAATCATTTTGTAATTCTTTATAGATCAGGTATAAGGTCTTAATAAGAAAAGTTCTTCAGTTGCCAAATTGTGAAAAATCCCATTCAGGGATTGATGAGCACTTATCTTGCAGAGAATGTGAACTAAAATCAATTTATTATGCATTTATTAATGGATTAACAACATTTATAACTGCATCATTACCAAAAAGAAAAACATCAGCCAAAGGAAGTTTCTCTAACTTGGCAATCGCAAATTTGCTATTATTAGCAGCTTATAAGAGTCACAATCTGACTTGGTGTGGTTAAATGTGCAGAATGCACAGGTTGACGGACTAAATTACATGTAAATAAACGTTTTCAATATGAAGATTGTTGGGAAAATAACATTTTTGTGTCTGTGTTTTGTCATGAGGATATTTCTGTGCAATTTGCCTAGCCCCAGCATGACAGGTATTGTAGCTCTATGCAAGTCTGAACAGATGCAAACAGCTCTCAGAGGTCTCAGCTGAAATTGGCACAAACATATAGTTTGAACAGAGACAGAAGAAAACAAACATTTAGGCACCCATAAATACATACACACACGCATACACACAAACATGCACTACAGCTGCGAACACGTACAGTGCAGTGGAAAAGTGAAAGGGCAAAGGTCATTGTTTTCCACAACCAAAAGCCAGGAATTATATCTATCTGTGGGCTTTTGAAAGAGTCAGGTCTGAGAGAGTCATTGGACAGATAAATACATGAACATTTGATCTTTGTCAGATAGTGTTTTGATGTATGGTCCGCACTAAAATGTGTTAAATGGATAAAATGTGTAAGCATAGTCTTCTGTAAGAAAAAAGAAATGATCTCAGTCGAGGTCTCGTAACTTTTTCCCAGTCTCTTTGGCATTTTTGCAGCTGTATAGCCATTTGATAATCCGTGCATTGCGCTCAATAACTGACGTCCCCTGATGTATCTTTTTATCTAACTTATCCTCCAGTAAGCCATCACTGTCACCACTGCTCCTGGAGAAGCCGCCGTCTGATGTAGAGACACTGACACTGCGGATGTTTATTGCAATTTCATCTGAGCGTGCCGAGAAGTTCTCCTTCCCCAAAGACTTGATGACCTCACCGTCAAGCCCGCAGTACTTGAAAAAAGAATCAAAGTCTGCAAAGTTTTTGGAGTACCTGGAGCTGATGTCAGAGTGAGAACGACTGACCCCTTTGCCAGATCTCCTTTCAAACTCAGGAACGGCGAGGAGACTTGTTGTCACCTTTGTCCCAGAATTCCCGCTCTCAGTGCTGTGTTGTTCTGCGAGTCCATTCTTCCTCCTCTCTGACTGGGAGGAAACTACATGTGGGCTACATTCCTTTGCTGTTCCCCCAGGTGTGGTGATTTTTTCCATGTTGCCTTCAGAATCACATTCCTTATCTGCCGCCTCAAGTAATGGAACATTTTTATTCCCAGAGTTAAGCAGCAACTTACGTGTTATATGATGTTTCCGGTAGTTTGCTGCACCTCTCAGTAACTCACATTTCTGTCTGTAAAGTAGAAGAGAGTCAGGTCGTTTTTTGGAGCTGGACCGACGTACCTGCCCTGGTGAGCAGGTTTGCTCACCACCTGTTGCCTCTTTCGAGTTATTCCCCGTGACAAAATTCCCACCACGGTTCGAGCTCCGGTTAGAAGACCCTGTGCTGCTCACAGAAGCTGATCCAAGACTGATCACTGACTCCTGAGTGGAGTTGACCACCTGCTGGCTTTTGACGTATTTCGGTTTGCTTGCCCGGAGCCTCTCCACAGCACTCATGCGTCCTTTTGTCTCACTCTCCAGTTCCATTTGTTTTCGAAGGTATTCAGGACCCTTCTCCAGGATTTTGCTGGTGTCACTGGTTGTCTCCATTGCGGTTTTAATGAACATTCAAATCAGTTATGTCCAAAGAGCAAGTAATCCTTCAGTGTACAGCCTCTCAAGTGTTAGAGGTAAAAGATTCCATTCAAGCCCGCTCTTTGCCTGAGCACGTATCACAACAGATTTCACCTTGTCTGTTCAAACACACAGCACATTACCCCACCCATCCTGTGCAAGGCTAGTTTTAACCGAGCACAAGCCTGTTCAAAGTACACCTGATACCATCACAAGTGAGAACAGTGAAAGCTGACACTGTTGCATATTTTTTCCCCCTCTTGTCCTGGTAGAAGTGTGGGCTTTTATCCTTATTGCTCAATACAGGACAAAAACTTACATTATCTAATGAGAAAACTGATTTCTGTCTTTACTAGTAACTCTCTGCTATCCTTTATCGACTCATTTACCAGACAAACTGACTCATCAAATAAGGGCAGCACTCATTACAGTGCTTAAGTTGCGCAATAACTGTTTACTTCAGTCTATTCATCCTTAAATCATTCAAAATGGGTTTAAAGTCTCAGACAAAGCCATCAAAACAGCATTGCACAATTCTAAAAACTCACAGAGGAAAGACATTTGATTAGTTTTTACATCAAGATTTTGTATTTGCTAAGTAGCTGTATATTAGTGAAGACCACCAGTCCTTTAAAAACTTGTGCAAGGTGACTTTAGAAAGACTATACACTGTCCTTACTTTGAGGTTTTATTGGATCCTAAAAGTGTTATGCTTAAAACATTCATAAAACACCCCAGACCAATAATTTGAAAGTGCAATCAGCCAGTAGTTGTTGATCTTGTAAGCATGTCCCACTTTAAGGTTATGACCTAGCAATACTGAAATTTATTGGGTCAAGGCAACAGCACAAGCAGTTACGAGACAAAAACCCTGATAGATTCCAATATTCCCACATGCTATGTTTGATAAAATAATGAACAATAAAGGGAAAGGAAACTGGATCAGTTTTTTATTGTATCATGTGCAGTTGGCTTCTACAGTATACTCACATTTAGGAGCGTCTGCACACTAAAATCTACACTGCACGTGCCTAGCCAGTCATGATGATCCCATCTGAGCCCATTTCTGGATGTGCTTCAATCTGATGAAATCTTAAAACACTGAATTATATTTTAATAAATCAGTAGGTCTCCAGTCTACTGTAACGCTAATGCTTCTACTTTCACTAAATGTCTTAGTACCAGAACATACTGGCTTCTTTTCATCTGTGCATATAAATAAGTAGCCTGAGTAAGTACACAAATGTTTACTAAAGGCATTAAAATCACCAGTGATAATAATAGCATGCATGTCTAATTTGTGTGTGTGCGACCATTATGAACATCTGCTGGTGTGGTGTCACATAGTGATACTGAGAAGGAAAGCAGGGGTAACTGATCAAACAGATGTGCAACACATGTGTAATATAAGAGTTGTGAGTGATGATAATCAACCAAAAAAAAAAAAGAGAAAACAAAACAGGAAAGTTGCAGCAACAGAGAAAACTGTCCGCTTCATTTTAGCACAGCTCTCTGCCCTACAGAGCATTTCCACACACTTTCCACTAAGTGTTGCTGAGTTAGTGAGTGATTACATTTGGCAATTTTCTGACCACAGCGCCAACTAGGGGGGTTTCCATAGCAAAGTCCTTTACAGTTTCCCCTAGAGGGAATGCTGCTCCTGAAACCAAACAAGACCATTGTCGCAGGAACTGTGAGTGATTGACCGATTGACATTGCCATTTTAGGGCTTTGTGCATTCTCTCAATGTGTTTAAAAATATGTTTTGCTCATATCTTTCACAAGACCTAGATATGTGTGTGAGTGGTGCATGTGCTTAGTGAGAGAAAGCGGTTTACGCATGAATTTACACAAACTTGTACAAATGTTTTTATAATACTGTCTCCAAACTAAAAAAAAACCTCCAGCGTTAACACTGGCACAACAGTATTCAGCGTGTATGTTGAAACCTTCTTGGCTTACAATAGCTGCAAGATCAGGGTTTGAATGCAATGGATGGAAATTAAAGAAAAAAAATGCAAATCCCATCACAAAAATAAGGAGGTAACAACTGACTCCCTGTTCTCTGCTTCCTTGTGTAATTGAAAACATTCGCTGAACTAGAATCTGAAACATCTGTGAACAAACAGAACTTTAAAGTTACCATCACCAGGTTTACATGTTCAAAAGGCAGAGGGCAGCACTAGAATGTGCAGTGTGAATGTCAACAGAATAAAGTATTGCATGCCTTTGGCTTAATTACCCTACAAGACTGACTCGGATTCAAGTCCTTACTTCTATACTCTTTCAAGAGCAAACACCACATACTGCATTTGTTATTGCAATTACCCAGCATCAAAAATAAGACAGCTCTGTTATCTTTCTGCTTGTTACTTCTGCTGACAGCTGACTGAGAAAAACCAATGACCTGGGGGCCTTTTATTGATGCCTCTGCAATCTAATTTAAGTGAACTCATATTTTTTCTGTGATTGTACATAATTATCATACCACATCTGGTTTTCGTGTTGATTGCATTTATTCAGCCGTGTGTTTTCTTTTGATTGGCTTCCCTAAAATCAGACTGACCAATTCATTTGGGGATTCAGCAGTGTTTACTTGTACTTTATCCACCCTTGATCTCTGCTTCAAATGACTCATGATGTCCTTGAGATACGGCCCCAGATTTAGAAATCTGGTGCTAAAAAGAGGCATGCAGGAGGTGTCACAATGATTAATGATTCCTCACAAGGATGACAAGGTTACGGGGCTGTAATGTATTAATTTGAATGTAAGGGCGTTGTTGATGAATTCCAATCAATACAATTTCAGGGCATAAATACTTGGCTCTTGCTTTACACAGAATTACCGCTTTGAAGTACTGTACTGTTCTACAGTGTTTATACTGGCTGATCAAAAATGGGCAATGGCCAAAGAGCATATCAAAATATTATATATATTTTAATAAGCAAGCATATGCTATAAAGATAATTGTTGTATTAGCAATGAACTGACTGCTTGTATATGAGGAGGTGATTAATTCAAAGAGAATTATCACCTGAATGCCACTCCTTTCAGCTCTGTGGAGCTTTGTAGCCTCTTTCAGCTCATTGTTTTGGTTTTACAGCCCACATCTTTATTGCTTTTGTTCTCACACCACTCTCATTAGCTTCATTTTAAAAACCAAATGTACACTACCTGCCCAGCACTGCACAGAGGCAAAGTTAGCAACAAGCTGCAACATACTGGAGTATTTAGCAGCTCAAAGGAGCTATTTGTAAATTTTTCTAATGCTACATAGAATAATGCTATATAGCCAGTTTTAGTATTAACAGCTGTTTACTAACCAGTACAGTAGAAGCTTTGCGAGCTCAGCATCAAACTTCATTCCTTTACTCACCAAGAGTTGCCTCCAGCGGTGAAAAGCAATGCCAGTGTTAACTCTTGTCTATTAGGTCTTTTCTTCTACTGGAGTTTGCACACTAACCAGCTAAACCCTGCATGTCTCGTCTCTTTCTGCTCAATGAAGCTTCCAGTCTGCCCTGATGACATAGTGCTGCTCAGAGGGCGTATTATAACCTCTTGTCTTGTAAAGGAAATGATGGCTGAAGCTCTTGTCAAGCGGCAATCACCAACCACTTTCAGCAGCAGAGAAAACTTATAAATAGCCCCTACATTAAGAGCAACATATTTCCCCCAGGAGTAGGTGGAGACCAAAAATGGAGTTAAAAAGGCAAGTGATGATTGGATTTACATTCATTATGTGTCCAAAACATAACTCAAATGAATGATAATGTTGCTTTGTGTTTGCTTGATCTGTAAATAGCCAACTGTTTGCTAATTCATTTGTCACATCAAATTGAAAGGTGATAATATGTCAGTGTTGCGTTTACAGCTTGTTTCTGCCCTTTTCAAATCTATTACTTCTGTTTCTGATTAATTGCAAAAATAAAAGGGAGCAGACTCAGGGAGAGATGGAGGGGAGCAGAGTAAACATGAAGACTGACATCATTAGTCATTTTTCCCATGAGACCTCTCACTTTTATTTAATTCTTAACTTATGCTGCTAGTTGGAAAAACATATTCTACACTTTAATGCGAGACTGCATCATCTGCTAATTGTGTTTTTATTGAGTCATTCACAATGATTGCCATCCATCCTCTGACTCAATTAAAAATGGCTTGCAAATTATCAGATATAATTGCTGCAGGCATCTTTTACCTGCAGTTATTGTTTGAGTGTTATGTAAAGTAACTGATAATTGGTTATTATACATTCAGCGCTAATTACCAGGAATACAAGGTCACCGTCACATCCCACTCATTTAGTGTGTTAGTGTCTATTAATCACAGGTCCATCTTACTGTATTTCCGAAAACAACTGTGTTTGGAGGATTACTGCTGCAATGTTTTTTCATGGTGCATCAGGTATTTTAATTTCCCTTTTCTCTTCACTTAATTTTTTGCTTTTTTGGCCTGATTACAGAAACCAACATGAAGAGAATCAATTCATTCACAGACAAATGTAGGTGTAGATGTTTAAAGCTGCTCCAATCAATATTTTTATATTCGCAAAGGCTCATTGTTTTGGTTTCATACACCGTAACTTTCCCTCCCACTTCTCTCATCTTCGATTGTATGTCAGTGTGTAGCTATATTGCTTGTTTCCAGTGGCCTCAAGCTATCAAAAAAGCTAGTTAGCACTTTGGCATCACTGTTGCGTTTTAAGAAACCACTCAAGGTCAGAAAAAATTCTACCAATAATCACATGAAAGATAAAACTTCCAAAGACAACTGCACAAGTGACATTTATCTGAATGTAGTCAGAAAGTCTGGTGTAGCCAGGCCTAGATAATCCTTTTCTACTCAAAACAGGCCCATTATTTCGATTTCGTTTTTCAATGTTGATAAGATAATCCCACATTAATTGATATATAAATTTTGCAGGATAATGAGCATAAACACAAGAGGAGTCTGTTTGGAAATACAACCAATCCATGTATTTTACCATTCATACTGAAGTGATTAAAAAAAAATTGCAACACACCATGGTTAAAAACCAGTGACATTACAATTCAGAACCAGACTTTGAAAGTAATGAGAGCCATACTTGAAGAAACAAAGCAAAATCTGAAGTCTTGAATTATTATACATAATAATGAATTCCTACATCTTAAACCATAAAGTGAACATGATCTTGGAACTGGAATCAACGATTATTCTCTTGGATCAGCTCCACAAAACGTAGGCCTGGATTTCATACCCACTGCATTTGTACTTGTCTTAGCAAATACCTACATTTCCTGGACAACAATTTACTTTATATTTAAGCTTTAATCAATACCATGCAGAAAAAGTGCTGACTCCCCCATTCACATTTGCAAATGTGGGCACATGTAAAAACATCCCATTCTCTCAGCTATCAGCTAATTGCCACAAGTTGTCCAGATTACAATAACAGCAGAAACATTCTAAACCACTTATGTTTCAAAAAATCCTCACATGAATAACGGACTCAGATTGCCTGACACCTGGTGAATGTAAAGCCAGAGAAACGGAATAGAAGCATGCCCCATAGCCAGTTGAATTTTCTGCAGCAGAACATCTGTTACATGTATACCTGAATTCCTCACAATCTGGAGTTATATAGTGCACTAGATTTACTGTTTGCCATTTTATTTGAGTGTCCAGATTCAGACACTATGGTGTCCCCAAGAAGTATAATACCTCCTGTTAACAATCCCACAATGTAACATGTTGATGCGAAAATCACCATTGTGCATCTCAGCTGTTAGTGATGATGCAAATGACAGTGATTAGTCAGGTGTACAAAATTTCAGTTTGACCTTAAGTTTGGACATATGTGAGATTTTCACTTCACAGTCTGGCAGAGCATTCAGACGTTTTTATTGAGTTGTAGCTGTGCACAGTAAAAGTTGGAGGCTGGAGAGAACAGGGCGACTTTGTTCTGTGTCTCTCAGCACTGTGTTCACTGATTCCATGTCGTTTCGTTTCAAGGAAATACATTCACAGCTTGGCCTAGATAAAGCTGTTGTGCGAACGGCATAATAAAAGGTCTTGAGAGAAGATCATGACCAGTAAAACTGCCATTTATAGTTGTTTTTTTTTGTCAGTTTGGAGCATTTTTCCAAGATTAAGTTAATGCCTTCGGAACAGTTAAGACAGGCATTAAAAAACATGAAACCATTCTTTGCAAAACAGCTCAACACCTTTTTTTTATAATGCTGCTTTCTTTTTTAATTAGCATGTTTATACAAAACTTGGTTCTTCACAGTGTTTGATTTTCTACGAGGTGTGATATTTTTTCCTTCCTCATGCCAAATTCAATGGTGTCATCTGACTTTTATGTGTGATGAAACAGAGAGCCAAGAGAACTCATTAACATAATACTACATAACTCCATACCGTTTTTCCTTAATACTGTAGCACACCAAATTCATTGTTCGTCCAGTGTATCCACCCAATTGGACAGACAATTAAAGTTCCCTCATACGCTGCAAAAATGCAAATGTTTCAAGGTATATATAGACAGATAAATCTGTGATAAAACCATCAAAGAGAACCCAGGAAACCTACAGCTGGCTTTGGGGAGCCAATGGGACAACAGAATTACCCATTAACTAATCTGGATGTACACCTACAGTAAATCATGAATTGAAATATATTCAGTGTTTTCCATGCCTATCAGACACAGTCATGTCTAGCCTTTCTGCTGGGCTCAGCTGTTTGTCCATTCAACTTGTAGTTCCCCCAAAAGAGTTACTCATCCAGAACCTTTTGTTTTACCAGTCCGAACTGAGAAGAAATATGATCACTCATTTCCATTCACATGCATGTACAGGGCTGTCCTAGAAGAGGTGGACTTAGGGAGGAGCTTCTATAGTTTCCTTTTCTGCATCTTCTGCATCTGTATCTCATTATTAAATGTGAGACATTTTACTCTCTTTTCTTCTGCACCCCCCCAAAACACATAATTACACAGACACAAACATCCACAGACATTCCTCCGAGGCAAATCACAGGCAGAGGCCTCTGTTTAATGAAACGGAGAGGATAATTTTAAGAAGCAACATTTTTTAAGAAAACAGACTCAAACTGTAAGTTATCTAGTGATTTACCGGTTAAATCATTTTTTTCTGCTCTTAACAAGCATTTCACACACAAAAAAGTGCATGCCCCACCACTGTAAAATCCTCTGTGTGTCTCTTTTAAATGTGCATTTTGTGTGTATGCATTTAGAGCATCTTTTCACAATCTGCTTTTCCACTCCAGATTTCCTCTCTTCTGCTCTTCATTGGCTCTAATAATGAATAGTCCCCAGCACTGGCTAAGCAGAGGACCCAGGCTAAATACACCAGGGAACATGAATTAATTAGTTACAGAACGCAACAGCTACAGCTGCTTACACAGCCACAACACTCCAATTTAAGATTTTCTTTGATCTGTTCTCCCTGCATTACAACTGAGAATACAATAGATGTTTTTTTCCATTTCAGGAGATTTATTTCTTTGGCTTCTACTTCTCTGGTGTTTCTCTTCAGTCTTTCTGTCAGTAGTACTGTGAGACAAAGATTTAGGTTTTAGGACTGGAGTTAAGTACATCCTGTTGTATTTAGTTGCCAGGAATTGTACTTAATCATTACAGTTCTTACAAAACTATTTCCATTATGTCTTTATCTCGGCTTCCAGTAACCTCCAGATGCGTGACTGAGCATCATTAGGATGCTGCGGTTGCATAGCCCCCTGATGGACATCACCCCAAGGGTGGTAACATTAATGCTACATGTCATTTCTTTTCAAATTTTTCATTTTGCTTTTCATTTATTTTCTAAAATTTTTGTTGGCACCACAAACACCAAAATTACCTTACTTATAATGAAATGTGAAGTGGAAGTAAAAATCACACTTTTGTGTAAACAGCTATGACATGCAGTGTTTGATTGGTCTCAGTTTCTTCCTCTGACAATAACATTATTTTAATGGCATAACAGCTTTCATTTTACCTTTGAGAGTTTAAGGGGCAGTTTGGCTTTGAATTAATGTTAGCTGTTACTCCCAGTATGTGCACGTCTTGCACTGCACACTCTCAGATGCAGAGATAGTGATCCAAACTTATATAAGAACAACCATTAGAACAACTTAACTGTGATACCGATGCGTGATGAAACCTAAAAGCACTGGTCTTACAATAATATTGTTCTTCATACTACTGACATTAAACTGATTCTGTAGATAGGTTAGAATATCAAACAAGAGTCACTGAACCTTTTTTTCGCTTGACAATTGGGATTTTTCCATAAATGTGAGGCAAAAGCTCACGTCACAGTTAAGAAAGAATGTTGTACAACACCCAGTAATCTGCTGTTAAAAATGTCTTACCCTTTCTTGGTCCAGGATTTTCTCATGACCTGTGTATTTCACACCAGGACTCAGCAAAGCATTACTCAGGATATGGGAGGGCTTCAGGAGTCCGTAAATAGGGAACATTGTGTCTTATTAAAGGGTCCATGGGGCTCTAGTCTGAGGTGACCTCAAGCACCGATTTGCCAATGCTGTATGCTGACGTCATAAAAAGTGTGGATTTAATTAAGCATGACAGTTGATTTATACTTGTTTAATGGAATGACTGTAGGCAGGTTGTGTCTCTAATTTACATCAAGAATGAATGAGGAGTTTTTTCATAAGATAAGGGGCTATTTTTCTTCCTGTAACTAACATTTATTATCAGCACTTCAAAGCTAGTGTTGACTAATCTAGCAATAAAATAAAAGTGAGTGTTACAGGCTAGTGAGCCAGATTTGCATATGTTTCAAATTATCACAAATGTGTTCCTTCCTGTCTGGCAAAAACATTATTTTTTTATTTACTAGATACCAGTGGACTGAATTGGAACAAGTCATTTGAACAAGAATGAACCGGCACAGTTTACAAATATGAAAAAAATGTACTCAATTAAGAGGAATCAATCCTTTCTGAGTGCTACTTTATATTATTACATCACTGAATTACTATTATTAATGCATTTATTGTGTATGTTATTAGCATTTTAATGTTGTATTTGGCTATTGTTGATGTTTAGTTTAATCTACAAAAATGCATCAAATTTCACAAACAATGATAACAGCATAACAAACAACATTAGTTTTAAATCAAAAATCACTCCTCGTCAAAAAATCCAGCATCTATGACAACCATAAGCAAATATTTTTATTTCACTTTAACTGATGGATACAAGATGTCTCCTACATCACAGAAATTCCATTCTCAATGTAGCCTATGTTTTATTCAGGCTTCAGGAGTCCATATTCAGATACATGAGCACAGAGAAATTTTCCACTTCCACCAGATCAATTTGAAAACTCTGAACATACAATATTCTGCAGTGAAGCTGAAATATCCAAGAGAAGTAACATTTACCAAAACACAAACAGCGCAGGGGGACTTTAAGTAAATGCACTCAATGTTAGTAAATGTTAATTTCCCACCTCTGCGAACTGGAAAAGAAATAGGCTACCTCTCAAAACAACAATAATCACAACAACAATTGTCACAATAATGACATTATACTTAATTAAAAATTTCTTCAAAACCTTCAGGGATTTCATTAGATTTAAAGAAATGTGAGATTTCACTATTTAAAATGGATAATCAACATATCTGTAGCTTTTTCATCATATCTATCTAACTTAACATGAGTTTCAAAAAGTGTGCAAAACAATATTTTTTGTTCTGGCACTAGTTGGTCGTCAACTGCGACGTCATTAAGGACCCTTCAGAACAACATGGCGGGCAGTGGTACGAAGTCGGTTTTGTTCGTTTGTCTTGGTAAGAAACGTCTTTTAATCTAAATCAAGCTTATGTTCAAAATATACAACAAAAGCCGTCCAGTAGACAAATTTATAATGTTGTAGTAATGTATTGGGGCACTGTTAGGTTTCCCTAACAACGCTAGCGGAAGTGTTTTAACTAGCTAAGTCGCTCTATTAAATGAATGAGTGCAATGCTGTGAACAAAACATAAACTTTTCATACAGGCTGGTTGTTTTGAAGCAGCTACTGCCCGTCCAGATGGAACGGGAACAGGGATTTCCCTATGTGTGTTTTATAAAAACGCTGAGTAACGTTATCCTGATTAATTTCAGAGATGAACATTGGTGACAGCGTCCCGTAAATGATTTCAGTCCATTTACGACAGGTCAGAGTCCACCCCGTAGGCTGCTCGGTTTGAACTCCTCCTGATCATCAAAGTAGTTTGTACTCGTCGCTAATGTTGTCAACATTATAATGATGCAGGAAGTTTGTGCTACTCAAGTGACAAAGTTGCGGTTAAGTTTAGTGAGACATGTGTAAACAAACCAGCAGTGATTAAACGCATGCAACAGCAAACCCTATTACATCCGGGTAACATACAAAAAAAACCATGGGTCAGCTTGTGAGAAGCCACAAGATAAAAAAAATAATGTGTTACACGTGTTATATGGATAGTATCTTATATCACAGGATACAGTTGTATGTATGTATGTAATATAACATATTTTGATGATTTTTGAAGTGAAAAGAAGTAAATCCAACTCCTGCTGCAAACATACATAAAAAAATAAGCCTTTCTTCAAATATTAATGCAGTGTTACTTTTTATACATGGAAACAAAACAAAAAACAAAACAGTAATAGATATCACAGATGGCAAACACTTTATATAGCAGCTTAGAGTTTTTCTGTTCTTGATTTAGGGCTTTTCATCAATTTAGATTTAAAAAAAAAAAAAAAAAAAAAAAATCCTCACATTTTGTTTGCGGTTTTGAACAGGGAATATTTGCAGATCCCCCATCGCTGAAGCAGTCTTCAGGAAGATGGCAACAGATGCTGGCGCTGTTGATAAGGTAATGTCATCATTGATTCATCATTACATTGTGTTGTACAGGTTATATGAATGCAGTTTTCCCTTTCCTGGGAGTATGTCATATAGTATAACTGTCAAATTAGCAATAGAAATAATATAAATTATTGAGCAAATACATCAGAAACAGCCAAACCAGTTCTGCATGTTGCTGTATTTTTTTTACATTTACAGCTACATTAATGATACATTACTGCTAACCATTTTCAAAATATGCTTCTGTTAATTAGATATGATGATATTAGCAGGAAATTAATGGTTATTAGTGGCAGATTAAAAACCCTGCCCAGGTAATTGTGTTTGATAATAATCACAATATAAATGTAAAGAGATTTTTATTCCACACCTGGTTATTGACAATATGTGAATATTCATACATGAAGTAGTGGTGGTACTGGAGTAATATCGTTTGTCATTATCAGACCTAATAATGCATAATAATGACCTGGTGGCAGTCAATAGAATGTGAATTATTGCGGGATGTGTTTCATTCAGAACATTTGACATACTGTACCAGTCAAAAGTTTGGACACACTCTGCCATTCACTTGAATGGAAAAGTGTGTCCAAACTTTTGACTGCTACTGTAAATTCCAGCTGTTGAGTCTCACTTTTAATTCTGTCCTCAAGAGTAAACCATAGTCCTGCAAATGCTGCACCATCTACAGCTTCTCTTTATCTGAGCGTATGAGTCATTTTTACTGTGTTATTGTTCCCCGTGCTCTGCTTTGCCCTGCCTAGTGGAGGATAGACAGTGCTGCCACCTCCACCTATGAGATAGGAAACCCTCCAGACCACCGTGGCCAAGCTTGCATGAAGAGGCATAGCGTGCCCATGAGGCATGTGGCCAGGCAGGTACGACCATCCATCCCTACACCTGTCCTTGTAGTAGTTAGCGTCCCCTTTTTTGCTCTCTGTTGTTGCAGTGGGTCATAGACAGTGGTGCCACATCTGACTGGAATATAGGCAGCTCACCGGACGCCCGCGGTCTGGCTTGCCTCAGGAAGCATGGCATTGAGACGAGCCACAGGGCCCAACAGGTACAACCAGATGTCCCGTGGCTCCTCTCACCTGTTTGATGTTTTTGTATATGACTGAAGTTGGTAAGATGATGTCTACTAGACATCCAGTGGCTGTAGCCCTGACACTTATGACTAGCTCGCTGTACCTTTGTTTTACGACAGGTTCAGTTAAATTGTTATTTTACTGAGTTAAACAAGTTCAACATGATTGTTCTGACAAAACAAGCACAGGTTCAGCTGAACTGCAGCTAGCTGGATACAAAGAACGTACCTTAAATCCAAACATGGGTGATTCAAACACCACATACCAGTTGTCAGTGTAGTGATACTATATGTTCAGTTTTTTATTTTTCCTCGGAGAGAAATATATATATATATATATATATATATATATAAAATAGCAATTAGTAATTATTAGTAAATTTCTTTGCACCCTAACACACAACATAACAAACTCTACATAGATAGTTACTCAAGTATAATAAATGTCTTGATAATCTAATGGAAAAATAGGAAATTAGTTTCTCATTTTTAATTTCAGATTATCCAATTTGGACTTTGGGTTTCATTATCTGCATTTAAAATGTAAGAGAAAATCCATTTCATGGGAAATCACTAATACTTACTACTTTTACTCTAAAAGTACAATAATTTTAATGTAAATTCTAATATATATATTTTTTTTAATAACACCAGAATAAGTAATACAAAACATCTCATTGTAGAGCAGTTTCCCCCCTGTAGTAAAATGCTACATAGAACTTTCATTTCTGTTGCTTTGCACTTGATGTAAACCCAAATTGCTCTTTTCATGAGCAGTAAAATCTATTAGCCTCCATTAATCGGCAGTGGTTTATGGCCTAATTTACTGAGAGGTGTCCTTTTGCATGAATTGGGTTAGTGGTGTGTGGTGGTGTGTGTTATTACTTAGTTGCCTTGAGTATTCATTCATCTGGCTTTAATAATGATTTGACACAGATGTGACACATTTTCTAATCTGTTTCACATTTACATGGGAGTTGCCTTTGAACCCCCATATGTGGTGAAAGTCATTAACATATCTTTCAATTAAAAATTATTTGAGAAATAAAGTAGAAATAAAGTTGATTGTGTTCAGCAAATTTTAGCCCAAACCTCAGATACAGTGACCTCTTGTGACAGTTAGGTGAACTCTGCAGGACACAGCAGCTGGGTTCAACTTCTGCGGACAAAAGAATAGGGTTTAAGAGACCACATGACTCCTTTCAGACTAGACAGGTTTAAACTTTCTTAAACTGTCTTATGATATAAACTGCAACTTCATGTTTCAGCTGTGCTTTTAACTGAAGCACACAAAGTTAAGTGAGCAAATTCTAGGAAGACAGTAGGCAAGACATTTAATTGTCAAATCACAATTATTTTATTTCTTGCACAGAAAACACAAGTATCACGTCAAGTATTTGGTGTCTACAGTGTATTCAGTCCTGTCTTTGTGCCCATGTGCTTCTAATGAATGAGCGATTAGAGCAGTTAAAATGTGCTTTTATTTCTTTGTTGTTTTGTACTTTCTTTCTTTTTCTTTCTTTTACATATGTAATCTCTTCAGGAACATTTTTTTCTAAACTCTCTAAGTAACAACATACATGGTAATTAAACCAGTTTTCCACATACTTAAATTGAGACTTCTCACAATTTTCCAGATTTTCTGACCTGAATTTTGAGATAGTCGTGTTACTATCTTATGGATATGCAGAAGGGTGACAAAATAAAGTGAAAACCTGATGGGAGTGGGCATATACTGTGGCCACCAGTCACTAGATCTTTACTCAGCTATACACCTTTTGGAGATTTTGGAGCGACATGTTAGAGCTAATGCTCTGTCAGAACTATTTTGCAAGACATGTTGTCCGACCACGCTCAAATTAAGTCATTATACCTGATCTGAACAGCTGCACTGGTAGGTGGAGTGAATAGCTGGCCCTCATAGATGTGAGTGGGTGGAGGCATTTTGAGGCAGTCTCTCCTGGAAGACATTCATAGTGTTGCAGTTGGTTTTTCACATTAAAAATGACAGAAATAATTCTGTCAAGAGAAGAAAAAAAATTCAATGCCTGTCTCCTTTCTTACCTGCACACAGCTGGTGTCGATTTCGGAAAGTTACAGAAGCAGTTGGAGACACCCCCCCACCCCCCCTGCATCAGAAAGTTGTGGGGGATGGGGTTTCCGACTGTCCAATAAGCTGTTTCAACAGAGTATACTGGCCCCTTCAGTCAGTTTTCCTGTACCACCATCATCAAAACATCAAATGAGGTAATATTTTATTAAGAACAAGGTTCATTCCTCCAGTCCAGTTCAGATACTTGGACAATCTACGCCAAGGAGCATTGAAGCTGCTCTGGAGGTTCATGGTGGAAAAACACCTTCCTAATGGCAAAGACACACATTATGATTGTTCGGACGTGATAACTGATCGGACCAGTTTGAAATGAGTACGTTCCAGTCTCGTTCAGTCGCCAGATAAAATCATACAGTTGGTGGTGTTGATAAACTTGAATTGTTTGTCTTCTGACACAGTCTCCGCCAATGTTTCTCTTAACGATTATTTTAAACATCTAACACATAACATGAAGCAGGAGAAATAATTGTAAAAACAGTCCATGTTGCTGCACTATCTCATCCAGAAGCAGCATTTAACTTCAGTTTTCCCTTTTCTGCATGGATTGTAGCATGCTGTTTTTTTTTTTTTTTTTTTGGTGCAACAGTTATTTATTTGCTTCTTTCCGACTGCCGAGAATAAAACAATCTCTGAATTTTGTTGGAAACTGTGATATATTATTTTTCCAGACTAACTAATGGATTTAAGCTGGTCTTCAGGTCTTAGCCCCAGTTTAAGATGTTTGTGTTTTCCTTTAATTTGTCACCCATCTGCATGTAGTGTGAGTTTGATTGTCTGTGAAAGTGTTAAAGATTGCGGCCAGGATTGTGTCTACATTGCTATGCAAAATCATGGTACCTGTGGTGTTTATGAAATCCATTCTAACAGTCATTGTATCACCTTGCAGCATGTGGTTCAAATCCTGAAACAGAACTGAAATTACACCAAGATGTTTGTCCATGTAGGGCCTTCAGGCTTTATGCTGTGTTGGTTTATCCTCAGTGCAAGTCTTACTCCCCTGTGACCTTAAAACACTTTTTTTTATTTTTCCCTGAAAGAACTCCGAGGTTTCATCCTGTCTCGTTGGTTTGTCTCTATGCAAACCCGTTGAGTCAGACCCTCGTCTAATCTCCTCAAAGCATGGATGGGGAAGCTCAACCCTTGGCTTAAACCCAGCAAAATCCACACACTGAGCTTCGACAAGCTTTTGCTCTCTCCTCTTTTCCTTCATCACCCTTTTCGTTTCTATCACCAGCTTTTTCTCTCCTCCCTCTATCTTTTCCATTCCCCCAATTTTTTACTCATTGAACTTCACTGAACCTCCGTCACTGCCAGTATCCAAGCAAACTTACTAAGTGGGACATTGTTTAAAAACCATGGTATCCCCAAATAAACAATTTGTTTAATAAAGCAAACATGCTCCAAAGTGAACTGCAACAGTTTATTTGGAGTGTTTAGTGCCTTACCAAAAAGATTTAAGATTCAAAATTTTAATTTCATAATCATCGATCTTATCATTGAGTCAACATTTTAGGAATGAACATCACTTTTAGCCAAAATACCATTATCCTGTTGCAATCACATTAATTTCACCTGTCATCATTTTGGTTTTGATACTTCACAGATACAAGTTGAGTTCAAGGTCTTTCCCACCAGCATTATGAAAGGAAGTGAAAATACACTCTGAATTCTACAACATCTGGCTCGGGGTGTTTTGATAACACTCTACCTCAAACCCCTATTTAGCATTCATAGGTAGTATATAAACATTTATTAAATTGTTTTTAACTCACAATAATGTAGATATAAGCATTTATTAATGTATGTCACAACAACTATAACTCCTTATGTTGGCACTAATAAATGGAGGCTGGTATAAACAGATAATAAATAACAATATAGAAAAATGGGGTTGTAATGAAATATGACATCATAGGGGAAGTTGTAATTGTTGACAAATATTTTGCATTAATAGACACTTAAGACTGTTCATATAACTGCTTACAAATAACCTGGCATTGGGTCTTGAACCTCCCAGTTAATTTTTGATTTCCAAGTTGCGTCATCAACGGTTGTAGATCCAACCAATCAGAGCAACAGAAAGTGTCTCAGAGTGACAGAAAAATGTAAACACACAACAACATAAGTGCAGTTGTTTTTCCTTTGGAGAAAATGTACCATCCAGTTTATTTAATACTGTCATGATAGCACAGTCAATAGGCCTTTTTACATCAGCAGCAGCCATCTTGTTGTTAACGAAAACTCTTCAGCGGCGCTCCTGTGTCAGTCATTGTATCAAAACCCGCCCCCATTTTTGATGAATGGTTGTGACTGGCCCTTCTAGTTGCTGAATGGATGGAAATCTGTCTGAATGGAAGGGGGGCCAAAATCATCTGCGCGAATAAGCATGAGCTCACTGTTTGGTCCGGTCTCCAGTTGAGCTTACAACTACATTATGTTTTCCAAAGATTCAAGTAAAAGTGCCAATTGTCACAATTTACTATTCAATGTTTTTTCCAGCCTCTTCTATTTATTATTATCATTATTATTATTGTTAGTTGTAGTATTAGTTGTTAAACTTTACAGAGCAGGTCTCTTTGAGGTAATGGTGTCTTGAACCCGCTGAACTTGAACTATGCTGTGTGTGTCTCCCTGCTCATTCTTCATTCACTTTAAAAGCCTCCTAGTCCACTGTTGGAGTGTGAGAGTGCGAGGTAGACAGGAGCGGAGAGATCAACGGCCTCTGTGATTATCATCACCAGAGATTATAACTGTGTGTGAGAGAAAGGGTACGAGAGTGTTCAAACGGAAAACACAATGATTGGACTCTAGTGGCCACAGCCAGACACTGTGGTATTCGAGATTTGGTACAAGTACAGTACACTTAACAGTCATGACAAACATCTGTTTACTACTCTGCTGTTATGTTACTGACCATAGTTGTGTCTGTTGTTAAATGTGTCCATATCTCAACATCTGGAATATTGCAGGAGTTTTATTCATGTCTTGTTTTGGTTCCTCTCTTCTCTCATTTGTCTCTCGCTGCCCTCGCTGCCTCCCCAGCATTCCTATACATCGTCTCTCAAAATCTTTAAAAACTATTCAGGGTGCAGCCTGTTTTTTTATTTCTTATTTTTATTGCTGCTTGTTCCATTAAATCATCACAAGTACAGTGAACACTCCTCCACATGCCTACAGATGTGCAGCTCAGATCCCTTTCATAAGCAGATATCCCCGCGAGTCCAGAATGATGTTAAAGTTGTTATCCTCAAGATTTCAGTCCTAGTTGATTTGGCGACACCCATGGGTTACCATGGTAGCAACAAATGTGTTTTAAAACCAAAAACTTTTTTTTTTTCCAGAAATACAACAAAGGAGCCACTGGAGTATTTTTCACACCACAGCCAAACAAGGTTGTTTGTCAAATAGTTCAGATGGCAATAATTGCAACCGCGATCTGATTTCATGCTGTGCACGGCTTTAGGAGTTTTCCACACAACAGCAGTGCACAGTAAAGTTGGCCATCTTGCTGGGGAGTAACAGCTCTTCATGTAACAGCACACTGTGGCTGCTTCTTCTTGTTTTATTATTCCCTTGCAAAATTGAAAATGATACACTGACGAAGAAATGACGAACACAGTGCGCTTACTGTGACTGTTTCACAATAAGAGCCGCCCCATGTTTTGCTAGTAAAATTTCTTTGTAAACAAACAAAAATCATGATAACATTCAGTGTTACTCACCAAAGCATACTGCGTCCATCCTTGAGGTCAAACAAATGCGTTAAATACATTGGCTCCTGTAGATCTCTGGAATAGTTTGAAACCACTGGCAGAAATGTGTATCATGTCACTTGGGTGTCTTTGTGCATGAGGCAAACAAAACACCGACCCACTCATGAAATAAACTGATAGTGGAATCCAAGATGTTAACAAGAAAAATTAAATATTGCTCTGATACAGCCATAGGATTGTGAACAGTAATAGATGAAGTAAAATTAACCATAAACAAAAAAAAAATGAGCAAAAACAGAATTGAAAGAGGGACATCTTAAGGACTACAACTCTTAAATGTACATTTCAGTGACCAGACTGCCTTTATCGTTGAATTAGAAGTGACTGATTTTTACTGCATAAGATTGAACCCTCTCTCCAGGAGCAGAGAGAGGCTCCGCAGGCCGTGTTGTTTCCACACTCAGCCAAAAGTAATATTTGTTTTGTCCTACATTTCTTTCCCTCTTCCAGGTGACCAAGGAAGATTTCATGAGCTTTGAGTACATTCTCTGCATGGACGAGAGCAACTTGAGGTACAGTATTTCAGCCCACGGCAGCGGTATTTGTATTCTCTCTGGATGTGGATCACAGTTAGACACACAATGGCTGAAAGCACAGGTGTAATGTGTTAAGTGTCCCATCTTACTTAATTAATGGTTGCCTTGGTTTAAAAAAACAAAACAAAACACATTTTGTCTTGGAATAGGGATCAAGGCAGGTTGTCCCGTTAACGGTCTTGACAGTGATGTGTGCTACTCCTTCACATAAACATGAAAACGGTGGTAACATTGAGCTATAACTAACGTGTAGGTGAATGCCTCCCTTTAATGAGCAATATCCTTCCTTAAGCTCTTTCCAAAGGTCAAGGGGAGGGATATTTTTTGCTACTTTGAACGTTTAGGGATCATTTTGAGATCACATGCCTATGGCAGATCTGATCTGTAAGCAGCTTACTGAGTTCTTTGGATGCCTCGTCTTTGCTCTTTGGGCACTTTTTTCCCCTTTCTCTCCCACATATTTTTTTCTGCACAAATGTTAAGCTGACGAGACTGAGAAAATGAGACCCTGTCCTAGACAAAAGGCTAATCTGTCCAGGTTTTGTTGTCTTTATTAGAAGTGTTGTATCATATTTAGACTCCTGTATGAGTTACAGGGGTGTGAGTGACTTAGCTGATATAAATGTTATGTTTACTGTTGCTCTTTAGGAAGTTAAACATGTACAAAAATGTCAGTATTGTGGATTTGTAATATTCTGTCTTTTAAACATGACAGCACTGGATGTGCTCTTTCATCTAAATGGCTGAAAACTTTAACATTATGGTTTTTTTGGGGGGGGTTTTTTGTGGTCCAGATATCACATGTTGTTAGATCCTTTTGTGTTTTCCTTTTTTCCTTATGGAATTATGTGCTTTCTCTTGTCTTCACAGTGACTTGAAAAGGAAAGCAAACTCTGTTAACAACTACCGAGCAAAGATTGAGCTTCTTGGTTCATATGACCCTCAGAAGCAGTTGATCATCAAAGACCCATATTATGTAAGTCTAGTAAATTCTCATGTTTTAATGCATAATAAAGATGGTTCCTGAGTGGTTTTAATTACACCCCCCCACCCCATTGGGGGGATTTGATAAATATTGTTGGGGCAGCAGCGAAATGAAAAATAAATTGAATAAGTTTGGAAACAGGATAATAAATGTAATGTTCTGTTTATTTCCAGTTAAACTCCGTCCTTCTACTAAACTTATTGTCCTGCTGCTGTAAAAACTGAAGTGTAGAAATGTGTTGCTGTAAAGTCCCCAAAAATGCCTGACTTACACCTGTTCGAGTAACATTTGCTAAAAACTACAGAGCCCAGTTTTTATGAGATTTGTTGACAAAAAAAAGCACAAGACAATCATGTTAACTTCAAATAGTTGCCACTTAAAATCATTGCTTACAAGCCAAACAGTGTAAAATGTGTAGTCTGAATTATCAAACTTACCTATGTGTTTTCTTTCTATGAAGCATAAATTTAGGGAAATGGGAGTAAAACACATAACCATACATAAATATAGACTGTACCAATCATACACTTAGTTATTCTGCTTTATCAAGAATGCGTCGTAACATGATTCAAATGTTCCTAAATTTTGAATGGAGCATGCAGGTGTATCTTTTTCCGACCCCTGCCCACCTCAAACCAGCGAGACGAGCACGGAAAAAAACCCAAAATACAGAAGATCTCTCATGTAAAAAACCTTTTCTAACCTTCCTAGCAGAGAAGGTTGCATTCATGGAAAACCCATTGCTCATAGTTAGAAGCTGATTGAGAACGTAGGTTTTCAAAACGTAAAACTGAAAACCGTTTGATGGTGCACGATGAATGTAAACTGTCTATTCTGTTTGGAAATAACAGAAAATGTTCATTATTTTCCTTCAATGGCTGTGCACCTGTTCAAAACATTACACGTCATGAGAGTGATTTCACAGACAACAAAATGTTACACAGTGGAATCACTTGGAGTTTATTTAAGGACCACAGTTTTGGACAAAACATGTCGGTCTTCAGGTGCATGTGGTAGTCCTGGAGAAAATTCAGTCTCCAAAGGGAGAGATGGGATCATGTCCAGACACGTTTTATGAAATAAACAGCGCTAAAACAAAACAGAGTAGACCTTACAGCACAGTCAGTTTCTATCTCTCTTGAGCCAAATAAATGCTTAAATTTCAAACATCAAACATTTCTTACACAGCCTTTCCAGCCCAGTAAACACCACAATAAATGACTTTTACTCAACTATTATTTAATTATTTGGATATAACTGTACAAAGTATTTTCTGGTTTCAGATTGGTTTGCCTTTTCACGCTCCATGGCTCACTCATCCCTTTTGTTCCTTGCGTGCTTTCGCTGCAGTTAAAAGTCATGCCAAATGATTTGGACATGGGTCCTTGGCTGCTTTTTATCTTCTTGAGAGTTATGAGTGAGAAAAAGCAAGAGTGGGAAAAGTGGAGGGAGTAAATGTTGGGGAAGGTTTGAAAGTTTGATTACTGATAAGTTGTCAAAATACAGTATGTTTAAAAATATATATAGCTTCCTAGGGACACTCAAACTTTTTATATTTTCATAATAATATAAATAAGTAGTAATGTATCTAAAAAAATATTTAATTTCCTGTGTGGAGAATGTGCAGCTACAGCTGTGTTGACCTAATAATGATGCATTTGTGCCTCTCTTGTGGAACCAGGATCCCAAGATAAAAAAAAAAAACAGTCATCAAATTATAACTGATGTGGCTGGAAGAAGAGGCTGTGGTTGACCACAGTTTATGTGACTGTAGTCAGTTGTATTAATTTGTCTCATATCTTGGCTTTAAACACCATGTTTTTTTCTTTGGTGATCAGTAAAAGTGTGTCTTTGTTTAGCTCTTTTTGCCAAAAGTAGGGGTGAATGTTCTTTACAGTCACTGTGGTTTGGACACTTAAAGAGGACTGGATTGTGGTCCCTTGCCAGCAACCACATGGCATGACAGCAAAATGAGCAGCGAGGAGCAAGATGGTCACTATTATTGTGTCAGAACAAATGGAGACATACTTTTCTTAACAGAATTCATTTGTTATGGCCATCTCTTAAATACCTCTAGACCAGTTAACTCAATTATACAGTTTTTTTCACTGTTTTCTGCAGTAATAACACCACCAGGCCTGTTGTTAGCCATGTTAGTGCACGCCTCCACGGATGCCACCAATGATGTATCGATTATTGTGAAATTTTCTGCATACATTCACTGTCCCAAAGAGGATCAATTGTATTGACTGTGGTGATCCTCTGGCTCTTCCTGTAATGCCGCTATCTAGTGAAATAACTTTTGGATGGATTGCCATGGAATTTGGTTCAAACTTTCACATCCAACCTCTGATGTTAGCATCTACCTCAAAGCAATGCTGCATCTACATGCGTGGTTGTAGACTCGTCTATTTTAGTATTACATGGCTCACAATTGTTTTTTTGGAAAGAGAAACAGTTACTCGTTTAATCACTTAGTCCATTGACAGAATATTCAGCAACTACTGATGATTGATTCATCCTTTTAGTCATTTTTCAAGCAAAAATGCTGACTAAATCACTGGCTACAGCTTTTGCAATGTGAGGGTTTGCTAAATTGAATTGTTTTGACACATATTAAACTGATTATCATTGTAAGTAATTTAAATATGTCACATTCAGCTCTGAAAATTGTGCTGGCCATTTTGACAGTTTTCTTACATTTCATAGTCTCAACAATTAATGTATTGGTTGAAAACATGGAAATGGAAATGTTGTTTGAGTTACTACTCATGGTTACGTAAAATCTTGAAATTAATTCATGTCTCACCAATGTTTCAGTTCACTTGTGAGCCAGTGGGTTATAAATATCTTTACATGTCAGACTAATCACAGAATTTGAAGTAATGAGGTTTTTCTGTGGTTAGAAATGTTTTTCCATATAAATCCATCAGGGTTTCAGCAAAAACCCACCTCTTTGAACCCCCAAGACCAGAGTTTCAAAAGTTATCCTGCTGCTCTTGGCAGTATATTGCTCCCTTATGAAAAGCTGTGTTACCAAATTTGAGTGTGGGCTTCAGCACTCAATAAATTGAAGCCAGTTGGCATCAGGATAGGATAAGTTTCCTTCAGAACAATTTAACAATTTGGTACTTGGATGGGGAGTAGAAATAATTTAACGGTTGAGTAAGAAACTGACATGTTTTTTTTTGCATTCAAACCACATCACAAAACTGGCTCTACATCTCAACAGCTTCACTGGATGTCATTTTATTTCAATTCTTTGCCACCAGTTTTAAACAAAAAGAAAAATCAAACACATGTATGTAATGATTCAGCTATCTGAAAGGTATTTTCATTTCCTTTTTTATCTTTATGTTTTGTCCCTCAGGGAAGTGATGAAGACTTTGAAAAGGTGTACGAACAGTGTGTCCGCTGCTGCAAAGCCTTTCTGGAAGCAAACTGCTAACAGCGTCCGACCTGAAACAGTCGTTCCTGAGTCTGTCGGGTAAACACGAATACTCATCCAAATATGTTTTGGCCATGTCACACAGGCACTCATTATAATTCTGTTGTGGATGTCGCTGAAAGCACTTTTTTCAGTGTTGGAAATGTTATAAAAACCACACATTGTGTATGTTCAGAACAACGCTATGTGGGCGAGTGTGTAGACTGTAAATTCAAGAGAATAATAAAATGAATAAACAAATTCTGTTCATCTTTATATTTTTGGGATACGCTATTTTTTTATATGAATGGAGATATCCTAAAGATGATGATGATGATTGACATCTTAGGTTCACAGGTCAAAGGTTGACACTGGGGTCAAAGAAGAAATGCTAATCTTCCTGGGTATTTAGCTGGATGCTTGGTGGTAAGGTTAATTTCTTTGCACTGCTTTCGGTTTTGTTTGCTGTACAACTCCTATAGAAATGTTTTAGCAAATACAAAAAACATCAGGAATGTTCTCTGTCTTTGCAAACACAAAAGTTATTCTGCTTTGTGCTGAACACCGCTTGCAACTTAAATGGTGGGAATTCCATTGAGTTGGACTCATCAGTGCCAGTATAAATTACCATCTTACGCTCGCACACACGGTAGAGTTGTAGTTGTAGTTTCACAATAGTGGGTGATGGAACATTGAGAAAGGGCTGTAAAACATTAAACAAGGGTGGAGTTGAAGGACAGATGAACCAAATGATGACTGAGGGGTTTCCGGTTGTTGGAAGAATTGTTTTAGGGTGGTTTCCATGTCTGTGTATCTGTTAGAATTAGGGTCTTAACTGTGGTGGATGTGTGAAGCAGAGCTTGACTCAATTTGGTTTCAAACAAAGGAGATATATGTTTTTTCTGGGTTTCGTGAGTTAGAAAATGGTTTCAAGTCTTTTGGACACATTGTGATCCAATCTGTGCTTCGTTTGGTACTGAAACGTGGCACACAAGGCAAAGTAGTTCCGTAATGCCAAGCAACATGAGCAAGGCTAGGAGGTATTTACAAATAAACTCAACCAGATATAACCTATAATATAGAGTATAGTAACGAGAGTGGCCTTGTCGCATCTAACTCTCAGATAGAGAGTGAATAAGCATATTTCCGGTCCGCCATGCAGTGTGAATGTTTTCTTGTTATTTAATTCGAACAAATTGTGTTTCTAACCAAATTCTTGCTCCATAAAATATTCATTATGCAAGAGTTGCATCCAGGGGTCTTGTGACACAGACTAACATTTCTGCCTCTGCTCCAATACAATGAAGATGAATGGAATTGAATTTGTGGCACTCTCGGCCTCAAAAATGACATGTAAGATAATCAACAGCGAAGTCTCTCACTGGAAAAAGAGTCTGAATTGGGTTTAAAGAATTAGAAATTACGGCAGCGACCAGGAGCGTTCACAGTTTGGGGAGCTTTGACCTTTTCCTTTCTCCTCATTTCCTGCCATCCCTGCTGTCACCATCACATGAAGAATACACCCCCAAAAGGGAGACGTATTGAAGGGTCACTTCACTCAAATTACAAAGAACTACTTCTCATTTCACCCATGGGCTCCCATTATTCAGTGTCTGGATAATCCATAGAAAATACTGTGCACAGTGTTTGGCGAACTGAACCTTTAAAAGGAGCTTATTTCCCCTGTGTGAATATTTTTATGACTGAAATATGCTGACTCACTTTCTGCCAAGTGTCCACATAAAAAAAAAAAAATCTTTTGCAATAACCTCTATTTTAAACAAAGCACACTTGACTCTCTGAGTTGACCTTTTTAAACAGTGGGAAGTTCACCAAATCTGTAGTCTCAGGACTTGGTCCAGTCATGTGGTCTTTCAGGGAGAATTTCTTGTTTGTTTCAAGACAGGAATGCAAAAGAAAATACTGCAAGAGACAACAAAGACCATTCATTTTGTACCAATCGTATAATTTATTTAAATATATTTCATTTTTAAATATATATATGTATTTAACACCCATTTGATAAATGCCAGTCACTTTAATTTAAGGTAGATAGGTGGATTCCTCCTATGTTTTGTTTTACAGTATGTACATGTTTCTCCTGGTGTAAATGGTCATGGCCTACATTATGTACAGTGGAACCAAATATAACTTCAAATATATAAATATAGACTGTACCACGTTCTACCAAGATCCACAGGAGGTCTGTGACTTACAACCGCCACTTCCTTTTAAACATGTCTTGCAAAGACACAGAGAAATGGTCATGCAGTTAATAATTTAATCACAGTTCTTTCTCAGTGTGAGCACGAGTGGGTGAAACTATACCGTGACTGCCAGCCGGGGGTCTGGGAGAGCATTTTGTCTGCGTAATAGGTAGTGCAGTAGTAGAAGGGATGGGCTAAACCCCAAACACTCATACAGAGCAAACCGATCACAGATGGCAAGTCATAGTGAAAATAGTACATTTGGATTTTGCTCTTTTCTTAAAGAAATGAACAAAATAAAAATATGCAATCCCTTTTTCTTTTTGTTTTTTAAGCAACATCTTTTTGGATGCCAGCAGGGAAAAAATGTCTCCATGATTGTTTCTCTCGGCCACTTGTTTCTTTTTCTTCTCCACGCTTCAGTTTCACCATCTTTATCTTGGTCTGGTTTTATTGCCTTGTTGCTCCCTCATGGCGACAGCTAACCATCGAGGCCTAGCCAGAGCGATGGGCGGCAGTAATCCACGCCTTAGCAGAACAGACCTCACTGAAGGACAATACCGTGCCTAATATCAGTCGGGGATGGTCAGAGTAATATTTATGCTTCCATCTAACTGTCCAAGGCACTTTTTTCCCCCAAGTTTTTTTTTCTTCTGGAAAACTCTTGTTTGGCTTCAACCTGCAATGAAGAGGAAGTGGAATTTAGCATTGTCTCCAACTTGGCAGCACCTGACAAATTATTTCCTCCCCAAAAAGAATCACTAACAATAAATCAAGAAACTTGATTTGCCACAGATCTGCTGCTCTCACTTTGCTGCTGCTAAAGCCTGCGTGTATCGAAACAGAGCACGTACCATCCCTGTCAACAGCTCTCAAAAACATGAGCTTTACTCTGTGAACTCCAGCCCTGACTTGCACAAGATTCTGTCTTAAGTTACTTTACTTAAATAAAAGTAGCAAGCACAGAGATAATACTCCATTACAAGTAAAAGTCCATTCAAAAATGTACTTTAGTAAAACTGCATAGCCTAGCTATTATCAGCAAAAAAGAATGAATTTAGTACTAATTATGTAGAAGGCCTTTTTTGCGTATTATATTGTATATAATATTGGGTTATTCACTCTGTAGTTTCATCTTTAACAATACATCTTTATAAAATGATCATAGTCAAAATCTTAATCAGTATTTTTACAGCCGTAAATGATCTGAATACTTCCTCTGCCACTGCCACTGTGTTACTGGAAACTTTTGACACTATTTTTGCACAATTATTTAACAAATTTAAATGTTTGCTCACGCTTGTGTGTCATGTGCACTAGTGTAGCTAAACCAAAAAGGGGCGACACACCAGCACTCACTATGTACACATCTTGTCTTCGACAGCATAAAACTTTTCTGTTTGAATTAGAGGTGAAGCTATTGTATTACCTTATGTGTGCTACCCCTCTGTGCACTGCAGGCTGCCGGCTAGCCGTGTGAGAAGCCGCGCACATCTTTTGAAGTCTGAGAAGAGAAGATGACACAGAGAAACAGTGAGCGGTTGCTTTTTCACACAACATGTTGACACTGGATACACAAAGTCATTCCTCACAGTGTAAGAGGGTCAGTGTAATGGCAGCTTACATGCAGGTATCGTGCATTCTCTGGTGTGGTGGTAGACTCTGTACACTTGCTTCCTGCACTTGGGACTAAAGTAGAGTGGACCTGAAAGAAGAAGAAGAAAAAAAATGAGAGCAGGCATTAAGAACATTTCCAGCCCTGCGGCCACCTGCACGAACATCTGTTTTACAGCCTTTATCTGAGACCGTCATTCACTTTTCTAGTGTTTTTGACCTCCTGTGGTATTCTGTCCTAAAACACATGGTTTCTTATAGACTTTCTCAATACTTGACACAAAGACAGTCGTTTGCTGTGATGCCTTACCTGTTATATGTTTTATAAATTTCTCCTTCTTTCTGAGGTCCCTGGGAAACACAACTGTGAAGAGAAAATAGGAAAGGAGTGTCAGGTTTAGCACTGCAAGTCTGAACCTATAGCTGCCATTAATTAGCAAAGACATTCATTTTTATTACAGGGTGTATTTTCTTAGCAAACATCTGTCACATCAACTACATCAGGGATGTTTTTCTGAATGAGAACCATCTCAGTGAAGGCAAATATCCACAACAACTAATGATGATAATACTGCCAGAAAATTGTCAGTTCACCTAATTAAAAAAAACCTCACTAGTAACATCTAATCATGTGCATAGTTTTGTGCCATTGACAATGTCCTGGGATGCCACTTCAGACAAGTTAACAGCCCTTTAACTCTATCCAGTGTGAACTCCCACCAGTCTACAGTGTCTTTGCAATATGAATATAAAAAATGTTCCAGTAGGCTACATCCTTCATTATACAGCATCCTCATGGGATCCAACATAAGGGTTCCGCCCAGCCACTCACCGACAGCCTGATCTCTGTCTGTTTTCAAGTTGCGTAAATCCTTTGGCTCCACCGGAGATGTCTTCACCCGCGATGTTGACGGGGCTTCCGTTTTAGCGGTGTGCCGACCCCGGCTCTCCTCCACATGTTTCACGATCTCTATCATCCGCCTCAGGTCGTGCTGCGCGTCCTTTCCGGTTGCAGCCGTAGCCGGGGCCGCCGAGGGCGCGCTCTCGCTGCAGTGGCCGGTAAGCGTGCACATCAGTAGCACCAGTCCCATAGTGAAGTGCTTGCGCAGTCCGTTCATAGCTCCCATCGATTGAGGAAAAAAAAAGAAAAAGTGAACTTCTTATCCTACGCCTCTGGAGAAAAGTTAAACCGGACACCTGCAGGAAAAAATCGAGGAGAAATGTCAAATCAAAGTGTTTCTCATATAACTTACTTTCATATGACCCAGAGCTCCACTAGACCCGCTGAGAACACAGTGGGAAGTATTGTAACTGCTGACTGATATTGTTAAAACCATAATAAACACTGAGATCAGACTTTGACTGTGGGCCACCAAGCTCTGCAAATGGGTTTCTTATGATTTTGTTTCATCATTGATTTAGAAAAAAAAAAAAAAAATCACGTTTGGACTCATTTGGCAAGTGCACGCACATAACATTGAGTTTCAATTGATGCAATTTGCGCACAACTTTGTGCAACAACTGAAGTCACATATGTGTTATATAGGTCAAACATACCGCATCATAATCTTGATAATGCAAAGGTTTGCCACATTTTGATTAAACCAAGACTACAGCCGTTTTGGCCACACCATAGTATAAGTACAAGTTTGGTATGAGCTATCTCGGCGACCTATACATGGTTTAGTTACGTTTAATTTGCATAGAAATTTCTTTTGCGATACACATGCTGATCATTTGCACTAGATCGCAGCCGGACAAGTCGGTCTCAGAACTTAAGCAGCAAAAACAAATCATGTGTCATCTGATCAAAGTGAAATATTTCAGAGATGGATGACAAGTGTATACGATGTTTTTACCTTCAGGCCTATATAGCGTCGTCAAATGCTGAATGATCACGTGTGGTGCGTCCAACAATGATGAAAATGGAAATAAAGAACTGTGCGCAACTTTGGGTTTAGGTTCCTGCTTCTGTCCGGTCCGAAATATGACTTCTTAAATATGACTCTGCTGCTATGCAGGAGAAAAAAAATCAAAGCTTCTGAAGTCATATAAGTACTCGCTGAGCATCTGTGGTCACATCCTCTGAACACCGGCCGACTGTGTTGAGAGAGTGGACGAGTAGCTGAAGGATCCGGTGCTCCAAGTCCCGTTGTGCGTGCGTCCTCGCTGGAGTAGCAGATCAGTCTCCCTGAAGTAAAGCTCACTTTTTATTCTGTCTCGTAGACGTGGTGACCTGTCCCTTGAGGGTTATTCCGTCGTGTCTGTGACAATAATAACACGCATTATTGGCGCTCCAGCAGCGGAAAGTCCACTTGAGTTGACTGACCTTGACTTGAACGCTGTGAGAAGTTTTCTGCGCCCCCCTCCTTTCCGTTTCTCCATTTATCTATGCGATACGCGGTTACAGGAAGCCTTCCTTTCCTACTAATACTTCCACTGAAATTTCCAATCAGCCCAGTATTGAGCGCTGATACCAGCATCTTAGTGGAAGCACTCCCTTATCCTTTTTGTGATTCTCATAACCCCATTTAGAGCCATTGCGCGGTTTATGTCCATTATGGGAATTAAAACACAGTTACGCACCGTTTAAGGATGATTCTATGAAAATTAATTACGCTTTCAAACGTATTGCTCTGAAGTTTCTGGTCAGAGCATCCGACTACACAGCATAGTTAAGATTTTCTCCTCACTGGAGATTAGTCTGTACTAGCTCGATGTGGTTGGTACAGCTTTTTTTTTAAAGTCAGGACGTGCAATTGCCTCCCATGCCCGCCCACTTTTCGCCATTATCTGCTCAATGGTGTCTATTTGTTATAGCGACTTGGGCGAGTGCGTGTTTACGAAGCGTGGCTGAGTAAAGTAACTCTTGTGGCCATGTGTAAAGTAATGCATTGGTGCTGAAAGGACAGCGCGCACTGTCACCCAGCTCCAGACCTCTTCTCTGAACATGTGATCTACAGCTGCCCGGGAGAACTTCAGTGGTAATGCTTTCCAGGTTCAGAGTGACTTTGCCCGAAAACTGTGCTGATTAATTTTATCGACCACAATGATGACAAAAAAGTATGGATGATGCTTGGTGTCTCTGGTGATTCACACCAGGATGAGTTGTCTTGTTTTTTCAGAAAGGATGGATTTCACTTTTTTGGAAGTGTAATGAGAAATTCACTGTAAAGCTGCGTGGATTAGGAAAGCTCATTCCCCAGGCACAGCAAATGTGCCTTGAGACTGCACGTGATTTCTGATGTTATGTTATGAATGGGAACCAGTGCAGTTATTAGAAAAGTCAAACTGATTGGTCAGCTTGCGGAACAGGGGGGTGGGGATGGGGATGGTCACCAGGTTCTAAGGCCGTTTATAATAGACGTCCCCCCTAATGAAGGGAGAAACTACATCTGGAGCTGATCCTGACCTCTGACATGCCTGTGGAAGACTAAAGTGAATGTAATTTACCTACATAAAACAATAAAGTTCATCATTATCAAAAAGATTAGCGCTGGACTGCAGTGCCCACCAAACTCATTATGATATAACAGCTGTAAAACATGTGACCAACTTTAATTTAAATACAACTAGTCCGGGCTATTTAGCCATCTTAGATTTTGATTTATGAATTTACTAGTGAAAAACACTAAAAAATTGATTTTGCAGAATGCAAACTGCAAAATTATGATATCAAATAATAAAGAATGAATAAACATTTCTTGAATTCACTGGTATGCTCAGTATTGACAGGCAGCAGTTTCAGTAGGGGGCGTCATTCTGCAGTGACTGCACATTAAAATCATCCAAAACGTTGCTCATATTTGTGCAGTCTTGTGCTCCCCGCTCTCGGAGTGCAGGGTTTCTTTCTGCCCCCAGAGTTGAGAAGAGGTCAGCAGGCTGCAGTCGTTTTCCTGCCGTGCCCCCTTCCCCTGGAACGACCTCCCTGCTGACAGCAACCTGTCTGACTCCGTTTCAAATCCAAACTTAAAACTCAACTTAATGCCTTAACTTTCAGTTAGTGGCTTATTCTTTGGTTACTTCAGGCTTTGTACCTGTTAACATTGCTCCCACCATCGGGTCAGTCTCAGTCTCAATGAATCCATTAATCCTAGTATAGGGTATAGTATACAGTCCATGATGTCCTGCTGACGAGGTTATTCTACTTTGATAGCCATTGCATCTCTCTTACCCTCTGCTTCTTATTCCCTTCAGCACATGAGAGTCCTCCTTGTCTCTCTCTCCTCATGTGTTGGAGTCTTTCTCCTACACATATGAATGATGTGCTTGGTTTTGCCTCTTGCATGTTTGTGTAGTATGGTGGAGAGGAGGCCTTGAGTGGCAGGTCCTATCTGTTGGCAGCACCTGAAGCTGCTCGAAGTCCTCCCAGATCATATACCTCATGAATATTTACAATCTATCATGGTGTTATCCAGATTGTCCATACTGTAAATCTACTTTGTTGCTCCATGCTGTACACATGACAGCTAACCTGGAAGAGGGATCAGTCCTCTGTTGCTCTTCTTGTGGTTTCTTCTATTTTTTCCCATTAAAGTTTTTTGGGGGAGTTTTTCCTTGTCCAGATCGAGTTTCTAAGACCAGACAGTATTGTAATGTTGTAAAGATTGTTAAGCCCCTTGAGGCAAATTTGTGATTTGTGATATTGGGCTATATAAATAAAAGTTGACTTGACTTAACTTGATGCTTGTTCACAATAACATATACTTAGCAAGCATTTTGGCTTGAAATGACTCTTGAAATCTTTCCATATAGATGGATAGGGAAAGTGCCAAAAGGGAAACACACATACTCAATTTACACCACAGAGTGCAGTTAAGAGGCCGTGTCTGCTGGGTCACGTCAGATCTCTTAACTTTCTATAGAATAGAAAAAAATACAAATACAGAAAAAATACAGATATTAAACATTTTATTTGAAAAATGTGTGCAATAACATGTAAAGAAGGCAGGAGCAGTACTGATTGATGATTATACAGCTTAGACTTTATTTGATAGCTACTCCATAATATAGTAACTTCCCTTTGTGATAATTTATTAGTTTTTGCAGTAAAGCACAAGTCCCCTGAGGGTTTGAGCAAAAAAAGCTACAAAGAGAATGAAACATATTAGTTCACTTTGGAGAATGTAAAGGTAGAAGTAAATTTACAAAATAAAACATTAATAATCTATGTCTGGACTTATTGGTCTGGCAAGTACTTTGGCACTTTATGAACAGGCATATAACCTTGTTTAACCCAGTTCCTATTCTCATGCAGTTTTATGACTTCTCTAAACTTTGGTAGTCACATGTGAAACTATGTTGTCCACAATGTGTAAGTCAATGATTCATGTTCATATGATTTTAAATAAACCACATGTGGTGAATCTCACAGATGCAGTGCAGTGGTCACTGGTTTCAACACCCCAATTGTCTCATTCTCCCTTTCCTCCTGAACTCTTAGTGATAGTTTTCTTCTGAAAGACATTCTAATTAATTGATTAGAGGATGTGGTTGTCTTCCCATGAACGTGCCTCTCTCTTCCTGAGTTGCTTGTTCAAGTTGAAAACTTCACTTCCTCAAGGTGTTACTCAAGGGCACTCTTTCAACTTTGTCAAAGAGCGAGCGCTTCTCTGATTTTGGCCAAAGCAAAAGAATCCACTTCTTTAATCAAGGATGTTTCAAATATTTTCATCTTTGGGGGTCAGATAAACTGACACGGTTGATGCCTTTAAACTGACTGATGAAATCCTGGGCTTGAAACAATAGATTTGAAATTGTGTGAAAACAGGAGACATGTGCTTTCATTTGCAGAAAGGATATGTTTCAGACATAAACTGAAGTATCTACCTCTCTCTATGTTCCACCCAAAATGACTTATCACTGTCCTGCTGACGGTATCCATGCAATACTTTCTCTCAATGTGTTTCTGGTTAAAGAAAATCCTCCTTATAGATAAAATAGATCTTTCTGAATGCTCTAGATTCTTGTTCTCTTCATTTTATCTTTCACAGCGTCTTTATCTCTCTCTCTCATCACAGTCTTTCAGCAGGTGGTTAGCTTTTACTTTGCTATAACTTGAACTAAGTATAGACTGTAAAATGTGCTGCAGTTAAGTCAGTCAGCACATGTATTGAATGTGGACATTTTAACCGCACATGACGAAACAAGTTAGCTGCAGAAAACAGGAAGGGAATTTGCATGCATTTGTGGGAGCACACACAACTGACCCTTTTCCACCTCAACTTTGCTTGACTTGTGTATTTTGGTTTTCAATTAGGCAAAAGTTGTGGATAGTATCTGGTTCCTGGAAGTCTTTTGGGTATAAACTCTGTCGAGGTTCAAAGTGAGCTGAGGCAATATAAAAAAGTTTTAAAAAACTTAAAAGGTTCTACAGATCTATCAGGGACCCCAACGGCCAGAGTGGTTCAAACAGAAAGAGCTGGAGGTGGTTTGAACCCTATATATGGACATAGACCAGCAGGCAATGGGAGGACAGGCGGCCTTGACACGACCGTGGGTTTATTGGAATCCCTGATTGAGGATGGTAAGTCTTGTTTTTCTAAATGTTGACACTGCACTCTGCTTGAAAGCTTTTTTTTTTTTCCTTTAGTTCGCTGGCTATTGGAAAGCTCACTTCTAGCAACTAAACTTTCTGCACTAAAATTAAGAATCTGTGCTAACTGAAAATAATATAGCCTACTTGTATAACACTGCTTGAAAAGTAAATTGTATCCGCCTCTAATTGAGGCATTTACCAAAACAGAAATGATTAACTTGCTTTGGTTAACCACTTTTGTTATTTCTTCATTATTGTCCAGGCAGGAGAAAACATCAGGAACAGAAGTATCTGATTGTGCTGAGGGAGTCGCAGGCAGCAGATGTGGAGCAGCAAGAGCTGAGCCGGGCACAGCGAGAGTAGCATTTACAGATGACCGTCGATGATGCAATCTGAGCAAGGGAGCTGGAAGCAGCCTTGAGGAGGAGATTTCTGCGTCTACAGCCTTAAATCAAGCCCTCCTTAGTACGCTGAGCCAGCTTGTGCAGGCATTGAGTAGCCGCTTCCTCCCCCCTTACGCCTTAAGTATATTGCTTGTACCTTGTACTCATTTGCATTTACATTACATTTAACATCATATAACATTTGACTTGAGTATGTAGTTTGCTGTGTTACACTGAGTTGTTTGCATATAATTTGCTTTAATTGTGTTTGTTAAATAAACTAATAAACTTGTTACACATGCATTTTCATTATGGTTTCCTATTTCAAGGACTTTAGCATTTAATTTACCAAATAGTAAACCCTGATAACTTTTAAAAAACAGTTCAGCAAAATTGTGGAATGATAGTACAAAAATGTATTTATGTTTAATACAGTTTACAACGTATGTGTAGAACAAAAGATTTATGTTTAATACAGTAAAGACAAAATTAATAACAGCAGGCTCTGCTGCTGTTGCAGGTGCATCTCCATGACTCTTGGGAAGGTTATGCAGAGCACAGCAATGCAGCACCCTAGATTTGACATCACAGTCATTTCTCTTCACGAGGAGGCGCTGCCTTCCCTTCCGTCTACCAAAAGCAACTTCAACCACTAACTGTGCTCTGCTGATTTTCTGCTGTTCTGCTGGCAGCCGTGAATTGTCAGGAATTGGTTTTAAGAGCTACTTCTGCATGGGATAGGCCCCCCCCCCCCGGCCCCCACCCCCCAAAACACAGTACCCCCTAAGACTTGTAAACAAACTCAGAGAATTAGAGGCTGGCAAAGTACA